TCGGATAAACTAGTGATCAGGCGACGGACGGTATCTGGTCAGATCTATTTATCACGACGATCGGTACCTGACTGAATACTGTCAGACAGCATTTCCCGCAGTCTATTTTTCACAATTTTCTGTGGAAGGTCTCCCATTTGGCGCTCGTCAGTAGGCTTTGTCGCGGTTCGCAAGTCCGTTAGTTTGACACTTTACCTCAACGATCATTGCATAAAATACTGCCAGGCTGCATTTCCGGCAGCCTGTTTTTCAAAATTGTATGAAGGAGACCTCCCTACCCCTAGTTGAAGCTCGTGCCTTTGCCCCCTTAACCTTGGACTTTGCCCCTACAACTACCGAAGACTAGCGCCGCCACTGTACCCAGGTGTGGGCAAACCAAAGGTCGCGAGAAAGCAAGCTGGGTATCTCAGTGCCTTAGTGGGAGATCAGGTGGCAAAGTTACTGGCAAATGTTTAGATTATTGGATGATTTTAAGCTTAAAATTGAATTGAATCCATTGCAAATTATAGAGGGGGAGGGGGGGACCATTATATGACAATGGCAGTTACAAATTAACCACATTTCAACAACACCGCATAGAGGAGATAAGTCTTTGAATGGCTGTTTGTGGGATCCTTTTCGTTTACATCGATTTCTTAAGGCCACTTCCAGATTTGGTCAAAGGTCACGAGATGTAAACAGAGCTACCGCTAACCCTAACCCTGACCGTTATTTCCAGGCCTCGTTTTAGTAGGCTACTGTTGAATTGACGAAATGGCCTGTTATCGGTGTTCAGGTGTCTTGACATACGGTTGCATCTTCAACCGAATTGCAGTACATGTAATTGTGTCCTAGCTTTTAAAAATCCACATTTTAGATCGAATGTCTGCATCATAAAATCTGGATTTGAACATTCTGCCGAATTCAAATTTTTGAGTTTGAGAGGGCTGATTTGTGGCACGTTATCGTCGCGATGTGAAATTTACAGTCATCCACATATCATGATGTTTTTGGAAATGCAGCGGTAGGTTATAGTGGATATGCATTCGTTATTGCACCAGTGTGGGGATTTCCCGGAGAAGCCATGGAATTTAAATGATATGGGGATGAACATCCTACGTTTCTACACAAACTGGGTTAATGGAGACAGGCATACGCTATACATTGTGCCATGAGTTCTTTCCACAGAACCTTGGTTTTTCGAAACCATGCGCATGACTAGGCTCTCCATAAGAAACCACGTTGAAAAATCCTGAGTAACTTGCTCAGCCAACATCTGGATGGAACCTCGATAGTCTGGCTAGTGGGAAACCATGGAGACCAGTCTGGGGCCGACCCACTGCACATTACGCATTTGTTCAAATGACTAGGACCTCCATCCTGCATTACTCATAAGGGGAAACTATCACTGCATCACCTGGGTGGAATCTGGTATCTCCTGGATAGCGAGCCATCACCTTATCAATAAGCCAGTATGAACGCGGGGAAGCTAAGGAACCCAGTCGGAGACAGACCCACTGCCCAATACATGTTTGTTCAAACGACTAGGATCTCCATCCTGCACTACTCACAATGGGAAACCATGACGACATCCCCTGGATGGATGGAACCTTGGATTTCCTGGGTAGTGAGTCACCGCCTTAATCAATAAGCCAGTATGGCCACGGTGAAGCCATGGAATCCAGTCTGAGACAGACCCACCACTCACTGCACTGAACCCTATTACCCGGTGTTAGCCAAGAAAGTTCCTCGTGACTTTCCGGCGTGGTTTCCCCTTGTCAGTTGTGCAGGACAGATGGTCGGACAGGGGCCTGACAAGGAAAGCTGTCTAGTCTTCGGACGGAACGAAAAACCAAGGCCCTATGTACACATTTGCAAGCACATAAAAGATCCATTGGCAGTTGAAATTCGATATAAGAGTAGGCCGTAGCGCCACTGTCCTGGAAAAATATCCCTCATAGCACACTGTATGGCCGAGTATGTCCGTCTTCATTAGCCCAGTCGCAGAAAGAACAGTAGGATGTTAAACCCTATTTCATTTCCGCACTCCATTACAGTGAAATAAATCTGTACAAAAACACACACCATTTTTTTTATATTTGTAATATTATTTATTAGTTTGAGGAAATATGATAATTATCAATGATTGTTTTAAATTATTCAAAAAAACATTTGACCACATCATCATACAGTACATATTAATATATATTAACATGATGACGGCAAGATACAAGCCATGTAATATCTATATATATCTGTTACAAAATAAATAATGGATTTCTTTTTCCAACAAGAAAATGGGTAAATTATTAAAATTAACCCCAAATAAATACAAACAAAAGAAATAAACTGGATTTCTGTAGAAATATTGAAAAATAAAATAAAGGATTTCTGGGGAAAAGTTAAACTTGGAGAAATCAACAATGGCAAATTTTTGTGTTTGTCATTAACCTAAGAAACTCTTTACTTCAAAAGTTCTTTGAGAATCAAGGTGTTCTTCAGCAGCTGTTGGTTTATATAAGGAAGCTTGTGGTTTTTATGGATAGTCTCTAAGCTACCACATGTTCCAGCAAATATGGTTTACAAATAGGCAAAATGTAGAAGTGGGGGTAAGGGAGATAACTTTAAAAGTAACCATAATATTAATAAGGGGAACAACTGAATTAGAGGGAATTATTCGTAAATATGGGAGTTTATTTTAATAATGGATCTGGAGGATTTTAAAAATTAAGATGGAAATGTTGGGACTTCTTTTGAAATGACATAATGTCAAATAATGGGGTTACTATGGTTACCAGTAGTTTTAAAATAAAATATTCTGGAATAAGGGAGATAACTTTGAAATAGACAGTATAAATATAAAATAGACAGAAGTATATAGAGATGTTTATACGAGCAGTGAACATGGTTTGATATCTCCTTTAATATATATTTATATATATATATATAAAACAGATTATATTACATTATATTTACATGTATATACATATATTCTATAGTTATAACGCACAGTAAAACAGGATACCACACATTTATACCGTTAAATATTACATATTTTATTACTTAATACAGGTAACCTTTTTTTTTTATTAAATGATTTATGACACAACTGTAATTAAATCCAATTTCTAAATAATTCTTGGAAGGTCTTAAATATTACATATTTTATTACTTAATACAAGTGACCCTTTTTTTTAAAATGATTTATGACACAATTGTAATTAAATCCAATTTCTAAATAATTCTTGGAAGGTCGTAAATGTATTCCAGTCCAGCAATAAGCCACTTATTATGGGCAAAGCATGAGAAGCTATGCAATGGAAGGGTGAACAGGGACTTTATCTTTCATTGTTTGTAATATTCACTGCAAACATGCCCAAAATGATTAAATGGATTTTTACTACAGTAATTTACTCAAACTTTGGGACTGTCATTTATAATGTACCAGAATATGTATAATGAACTTTTTTTTTTAAAAGGGGACTTTATCTGAGAATTATCTCACAGTATGAAAAAGAAAACTAAACCATTATTGAAATATATAAGTTACTATCAATTTGACCAAAAATATATACAAAGCATTTTTTTTCTTAAATAGCTGAATAGTGGTGACATTAACAGTATTTTTCCGTCAAAATATTTAATTATTAAATAATGATTATAAATTATCAACACACAATAAAAATGAAAACATAAGTTATAAAAATTAATACCAGAATTATGTTCTTGGAAAGGTAAATCACCCCTATCTGTGACAAATAAACTCTTCTCCTGATCAACATTTGATACAGGTCAGAAGAGTTCATTTTCGAAATTGGGTATCTTATTTTAAACTGAATTTTGTATTGAAGAATCAAATATTTAAAGATTCTGAACTTTTCAGAAAGAAATACATGTTCGTATTTTACATACATACACGTGCGTGCGCATATTATACATATATATATATTTAAATAAAAGATGAATTGAATATGCATAGTAAAATGTTACATTTTCACACTAACTTAGGCTTTCTATTACAGTTGATATCATGATGATGTTAATATTGCATAGCACAAGTTTGCAGCATTGCTTAATGAATTATTTAATTAGTCAGACTACATAACAAAGGCTTTTTACTTCTCAGTGGCGCAGCAACGATAATAATAGAAAGAGGTCTCAATCCAACCCTCACTTTCAGCAGCTGGGATGTTTCTAATAAGAGGACTCAATCCGAACTTAATCCCTCACTTTCTGAATTCAACCTTATACAGTGTTACACTCTCAATTAATGAATGTACGAGCAACTTTGCATCTATTGGCTACACTTTTAATTCACAGAGGTGTAGCAAGGATATTTTTAAAAAGTGGGCTCATTCCAAACTTAATCCTTCACTTTCCAAATTCAACATTTTACAGTGTCACACTCTCGAAGAATGCACGTTCCCCCTTGCATCTGTTTGCTGTGCTTTTACTTCTCCGTGGCGCAGCTAGAATATTTCTAAGAAGAGGGCCCAATCCGAACTTTCTGGATTTTATCGTTTCTAGTGGGACACAGACAATAAAAGGGCCTAACATCAGCCGCCTTGCATCTCTACTACGCTACTGGTATTAAAATAATCACTAGTTTTGTATTCTATATAAGTAAGCCATCAGTTATTGTCTATAATATATGGAAGCACCTGATTAAGATGAAAAAAGTTTGACACAATCCATAAAATGCACTTTAAAAGCCTTTAATAGTTTTAGCCTACATTGTAAACGCAGTGTAGTGGAATTATCTCCCTTTTCTATCATTCCGATACAGGAATAACAAACAAATGGTGCTCTTCTACAGCTGTTAAAAGCATGCCAACATTGAATGAAGATTCCAATATTATTCACAGAAACTTCTCTCGGTTTTTACTAGCTATTTGTATTCATCTGTAGTTAGCTTGTGTGAATTTGAAAGACATTTGGTTTTTTTTACCATTGCAAGAAAAAAAAAAAGTAGCACCATCACAAAATCTTTTTTTTTGACCACTAAACAATGGTCATATTAGTTCGTTTCGCTGGAAGTTTTTTTTTTTCTTGAAACTTTATCATAGAAGATTTTTTTTTTTTCGTGTATTTTAAAATCTTCATTTTTAAGACAAGTATTAAAAATTTTATTATTAGTAGTTTACAGCCTTTTAAAGAACTGGAACAATAAGTCTAAATACTTGTACATCAAGGCAATATCGTACTTGACCAGATTCCATAATTACCCTTTTGTCCGTTTCGAAGATAAAACTTATATAGATGACATAAAGTCGTAATTCTCAGTATATAAGCAATTGGGGTAACTTGTAAAATCACTGTTTATTAATATCACTGTGTAATACTATTATTATTATGGTTTATCTCTTGTTGTCATGGTTACCATTGTCGCCATTGAATATCAAAAAGAGTTCAGCACTTAATTAATTCACACCTCTCGCAATGATTGGATAAATATATGAATCGTCTATCACTCGAAAAACACACGATTAAAATATTACAGGAATTGGCAGAAGGGGTTTAATTTATATAAATGTCCTCCAGAAACGAATCAGTTTCTTTTTCAAAAAATAAAACTGCGGTCATAATTTCCATTGTTTATGCTTTGATCACAAAGGAATGGTTTTTGGTCTGCTTACAGATTGTAAAAGTCTGAACCAATCAAAATGGTTCCACAATCCGGCACTAAATCCATGGAAATTTCAAATAAACTTGTCCAGGTCCTCTGTAGGTTATAGTTCCAGCCTGTGTCTTGTGGTCCTACACGTAAGCAATACGACTTGATGGACCCTCCATGGCTGTGATGACTTGACCCAGTTTCGAGTCAAGTTGTTGGGCCTGTGCGATATTGTCCTGCTCCAAGGCCTCAACTAGTTCGTTACTATATTTAGAAACATATGTATATAATTCTCGTAAAGCACTAGAAATGTAGAATTTACCACAAGACATCTGAAAAAAAAAAATTATTTCTCAAATTAATTCAAATAATAATTTAAAAGTAAAGTAAATAATATCAAGAATTAAAAATGTCTCAAAAGAAATTTTGTCTTTTACATATTGTTTATATTTTCATTCCCAAGGTTTACCATATTTCCAGCAAGATGGCACTGGCGCAATAACCAAGAAGTACCAGGTTCGATGCCAGTGTCAGTCGAGAAAGTTCCCCAGGTTTTTTTCAGCCTTATTATCCCATGTCAGTGGTACAGACTGGTGACCCTGGCTCAAAAAATTCTCAACATGTTAGCATGCATATAAAAGAATCTTTGACAGTCGGAATTTCATAAGAAGTGGGCAGAAACACAGCTGTCTCAGAAACATGGTACATATGTCCTTCTTCATTAGCTCGACTCGTGCAAGAAAGGAGGACATTAAAAACCAATTCATTTTGTTTCGTTCAAAAGTAAATATTGTTTATGCCAACAGCATCTCTCCATTGGTTATTGCGTATGTAATCAGCAATGTAAATCTTACCCTAGAGATTTCAGCTAAATATGAATTCATATCTTGATCGCTTATTGTAGGACTGTTGCGGATGTCGGTGAAATATTTTTCGACTAATTTTCTATAGTGGACAATATCTCTAGCGAATAATAATTTATTGCTTGGAGAATCCTGGAAAATATATAAATACAACTGTTAGTATATTATATAAACAAAACAAACAATACAGTAGTGCAGGATGAATGGCTTGGTTGGATAAAACGTAGGTCCCATGTACACATTGGCACACATGTAAAAGACCCCTTGACAGTTTTCATATAATAATAATAATAATAATATGTACATTTATATAGCGCTAGTACTCCATGCACAGAGGCATGCTCACAGCGCATACATTTAATTAATTTGATTAATCATTATAACATTTCTCAAAAAGATGGGTTTTAAGTCTTGATTTAAAACAAGAAAGAGTTGGTGATGATTTAATGATTTCTGGTAGGAAATAAGAGTAGGCCTTATCAGTGGTGCAGGACAAAGGGCCTGACAAGGAGAGCTGTCTAGTTGTTTGCATGGAATGAAAAACCGAGGTTGCATGTACGCATTGGTGTGCACGTAAAAGACCCCTTGGCCGTAGCACTGCTGTCCAGGCAAAATTTCACTTATAGCACACTGTATGGCATATGCCCGTCTTCATTAGTCAGTTGGAGAAGATCAGTAGGATGTTAAAACCCATTTCATTTCTTGGTTTTTATATGTAAAATTTAATATTTACCTTTCCTAGACGATGTTCAGATGTTGAACAACTGTCCATAAAAGTTTGAGCTACGACAGAAAGACAGGAATCCACAATGTGGGGTTTGTGAATATCAAACACAAAATCAGGGTTTTTAATAATGTTCACCCAAAATCTCAAAGGTAAACTGAAATGAAATAAATAGTTTTTTATCAATTATTAAACTTTAAATAACTTTAAAGGAGCTAAATCTCTATTCTTTGGCACCTAGAAATGGACACAATAATAATGTAATATGAATGTATATAGACTGATTTACATTCAATCGTTTCTGTGTTTACTGTAATTTCTAATCAGTTATGTTCAGCCAATAGTCCAAATTGAATGGCCGTCTTTGCGTCTGGTTATTCCAGTCTATACAGGTAGTATTCTCCTGTGGGGTATGTTTAGGCTCGTTCATCGAGTCGCTTCATTACAAATGGTGCTCGAAAGCAATCTGGCATGCAACTTGTGTGCCAATTTTAAAATTTTCATTTTGTCTTAACCCCATGTTTTCACGGTAAGATAACAACATCAATGTTGATTTAAATTGACCAATAAGTCATGTTTGCAATGTCGAAGATCGTGGATGAGTGAAATAGTTGCCTCCTTTAAATGCAATTAGGAATTAGTCAATTTTGAGAAAATCATATTCATGGATACATGAGAGAAAAAAGACTGATTTTGAAATATCGATGCTGTGTTAAAACATATTTTTCATTTTGATTTAATCAAAGGGGGACCACAGCTGATCACTATTATTCCGAAAGTACCCTATCAGCACCTATATTAATTATTAACCAATCATATTTACCTGTTACACTTCCACGTATGTACAACATCAGGATCTGTGATTCCGTGATGATCAGCCGCATCATCAAGGAAATCAAACAAGTATTTTATCACAGGGGGTAAGGTGTATGTCTGAGTTAAAATGGTACGGAAAAAATCATCAATATATTTCTGTAATGTTCCCTGTAATTAAAATATAAATAAGGCAGGTTAGAAATACAATGTTAGTTTCGCAAATTCCTTTAATATATACAGGAAAGGTTCAAAATTACAATGTTCGATTCATAAATTCCTTTAATATTTAAAAGGAAGGCTGCAAAATACCATGGCACATTCCTTAAATATATATATGAGAGAGGGAGAGAGAGAGAGAGAGAGAGAGAGAGGTCTACTTGACACAAACTAGGTCGTTTCAGGACTAACACATGGTTCAATTTTATTTCAATAATTTGCTTGCGCATAGAGGGGTCTTTAGCAGTGGGAGGAAACCAGAGGACCCGGAGAAAACCCACAAGGTCGGACAGGCGAACCTATTCCTTCTCACGATATACATATGAGGAAGGATCAAAAATATTATAGCTCTATAAATTCCTCCAATATAACAGTAAGATAGGTTGCCAGGTAACAAAACATGCCCACTGTAGCCAAGTTGTCCTTGTAGTCCCCAAAGTTTGCCAATCTTAAACACTTAAGAGTGTATAAACATGATGTGCCCACATTTCAATATGGAGAGAGAGAGATGGGTTTAACATCCACTCAACACAGATAAGGTCATTTCGGGACAAACATTATTTTAATAATTTGTTAGACCATTTGGTCACCCAGCCCCCATTTTAATATGGGAGATGTTCTCGGGATCTCCAGAGATTCCAACCCAAGTGTTAACCTTACCTTAGTTGAAAGGAGTCTGGTAAGGAATATTTCTGAAATCATTTTAACCCCACCATCTTTCTGATGCACATCATCATGTTTCACCTGTAAAAAAAGAAAAACAACAATAAATATCCTGATCTGTGGGAGAGAGAGAGAGAGAACTTTGGCTCTTACCCCCCCCCCCCAATTGGGACTCCTTAGACCACCTTATCACATGTACAGCTGAAAACGAGCTGACAGTTCTTGCTATAATAGTTTAAAAATAGATAATGACAAGAGAATATGCTGAAAATTTCAGTCAAATTACTTCACTCTGTGCCTAGATATAAACGATACAATTATGGCATAGGCTCGTCATTACTCCTCTTGTTTGATAATAAACAAAGTCTTGATTATCCATTTGTACGGTTTTTCATCAACCACAAAACATATTCAAATCTACTAAATATCAGAGCCATCCAATGGCATCGAGAGTTGATTATGGTCTTGATAAGGTAATTGATGTCTAATAATTTCAGGCCTAAAGAAGGACCTACAATAGGCAGATTTAGCTATTGAACAATGTATGTTTAAGTGTTTTTACACGTAACAATTATACATTTAACTGTAGCTATTGATTTAAGGTTAAATTCTTTGAAATTATACTTCCATGGCTTTGTATCATTCGCTTCATAAAAATTAGTGAATCCTGGTCAAAATGTCACTCAGTAACAAATAGTTACCCACTTAGCCACCGTGGCTCCCATTTATCAAGCAAACACAGCTCAGTAATAAGCATTAATTGTATTCCATAGAAATGTGTCATGCGTAATTCAAGTTCGACTACTAAATGGCAATTAAATAATTTAAGATACTTACCAGATGCCAGACTTTAGCGTTCTGATGTTCCATGTCTGATTTCATGATGGGGAAGGCAGAACTCACAGACAACACTGAATGGTCGAGGGAACCTGAAAGTTGAAGTATCTTAATTTTACATAAACAAGGTGGGGGTTAGTTTAAACAACAGACCCCACTCCTCTCGTCATCACCGCTGCCTTTAACATTAAACAAGGTGGGGTTAGTTTAAACAACAAACCCCACTCCACTCATCATCAGGTCTGCCTTTAAGATCATAATGGGGCTAATTTTGCTAATCAAGAAGGGAGATTTATTTAATGAACATATGAGGGAGAATATCCACAATTAGGCCACAAATGTTAAATGCTGCCCTTCGGATGATAAACTTGTTAATTAAGCTAGCTTCTCATCCTGCGATATTTGCTGTCACTATTTGCCGTGTGAGAGCGCTCATGGTCCATCGCAGTAGCATTCCGACAACAGCAGACTATCGCAAAGTTTTGAATTTGTATCTAAGCTCATCGTAGAATATCATAGTTCATGGTTTCCGTAAACCATCACAGCAGAATTTTTATCACAAGAAGTTACTTACTACTGGGAGAACAGTTTGTTCTTACTTTCAAAATTGAAGAGTACTGGTGTGTTACAATTGCAGTGCGTAGATGTGTTCTTGTCTATAACAGTCGGTGATATGTTACACCACGAATAGCTGTGATATAACACAACCGAATATCGTACGACATGACATTATAAATTGTAAACAGCTCAACCTTGCCATGCCAACCTTCAAGTAAAGAAACGTAGAATGTCCGGACTCACCATTCATAGATTTTATGGTTGTTTGTTTATGCACCAGGGAGAGATTGGCGCCATCTGGTACACGATAAAACGATAGGTTATTTATTTTCTTCCATCCATCTTTATGTATGGAGGCGCCATCTTCATCATTCAATAATACTGGACCAACAGGGCCATTTCGCCATTCTGTAGATAAAATAAAAGAAATGAAATGAAATGGTGTTTAACGTCCTACTGTTCTGCTCCGACTGGGCTAATAAAATAAAAGAAATTATGGTATCTTGTAAAAAAGTGGGTATTAACATTTCTTTAACACCATATATCTATCATTTTCATGTTAAGACTAAGTTCCCGGACAGTGGGCAATCTTTTCACTTCTTTTCTGCACCAAACTGGGGTCATGACGACGGGCATATATTTAAAAGGGACATTTGGCGCTAACAGCGTCACTATGGCCTAGTGAAATTACAAACTCTAACTATCCAAGGTTCGTTTATCTGTCCCATCCAAATGACTAGCTGCTGTTCCTTGCTTATGGTCTAAAGGTCTATATATGGAAAGACTACTATCAATGACTGACTATTTAAGGTCTGAAAGTCTATATTTGCATCAATGACTGACTGTTTATAGTTTGAAGTCCATATTTGGAATATTGTGCCTTTCTTTCATTAAGTTTTATTTTTAGAAATGTTGTGGTTACCTAGATCTAAATCTTGTACTGAAGGTCGATGTGAGAAAGATACATTTCTATACATATAATCCATGATTTTCTCTTTGGCTTGTGTTATGGTATCACAGTCTAATACACGACACATTACTACCTCTCCATTATGTTCTACATTTAATGACTGAAATATACACAATACACATCGTAAATTATACACAATTCACATTGTTAATTATACACAATATACATCGTGAATTATATGTGATACACATTGTAAATTATACACAATGTACATTGTAAATTATACACAATACACTCGTAGGCACACTGGGCAGTTACCTGGGGGTCCCACAAGCATAGGGTAGTCATGCTAATCTATGTATTTTGTAAAACATCACAGATTATACACAATATACACAGGATTTTTTGCTAACTCTCTAAATTCAAACCCACACGTTCTCTGTTTATATGCTCTACAAATTTGTGCATTGGACCTGTTTGTTTCTCCACACCTTTCCTTTAATTTTACAGGTAATGATAACGATGTGCAGGGTATGTGTAAATTAATTATTATAAGTTTATATACAACAATAGATATAACAAAATACTCACAAGTACTCGTGGTTCTATTTTTTCTCGCAATAATCTGTCTTCAGAGAGAGAATATCTGGCATCACCTGTCATGTAATCTACTGGACCTTTCTCAGCTTGTAGTTTTATTGCCTTATATAGTATAAATAACGGTGATCCGGCCTGATCCTATAATAAACAATATATTCACATAATTATCTCGACTCAGCACCTATCTACAAGTACAAACTCTAGTCCTAACTTTAAATCATCTACAGACTTAATATTACTCTCTGTTCCAAAATATAATATACTCTATAACAGGTCAAGATGCAACCAGCTAGACATATTCAGGGAAAGAGGAACATTCTGGTTAAAGACATCATTGGAAACTCATCTCTTTACCAAATAGAGAGAGAGAAATGGGGTTTAACGTCCACTTGACACAAAACCACAAGGCTGGACAGGCGACCCTATTCCTTGTCACATACAACCGGGGAATCGAAACCACGCCAGTTGACTCAATGACAGACCTTAAGGTGCAGAGGGCACGTGCTAACCATTCGGCCATCCAAACCCCACTCTTTTGGATATAATGCAGTGCTGTAAACAGACCAGATCATCTCGGGCCGACTAACTAATAGAAACATTTTACTTACCTTCATGTATTTATACAGACAGAGAGATAACCAGTTTGTCAACATTTTCTCTACAACTGATTCCGTTCTACAAAATATACAATAGAATATAAACAACAATTTGAGACTAACATGGTTATATTTTCATAGAGGGACCATAGAGGATCAATTGGTTACTTATATGCATTTTCTTTTTTCACAACTTGGACCTTTTTAATTTTTTACTAAAAGTGGAGAGGAACAATAAAGGATGAAATATTGACTTTTCTTCCGTAGCTTTAAATGTATTTATAAACATTTTCTTTTTCCATAACTTAAAACTGAGAAACGTTTCTTTCATAGATACACCTGTTGAACTCTCCTTCCCATTGCGATACTTTTTGCTCTATGTATAGGTGCATTTTATATTTTTATTCAAAGTTTAAAATTTTTATGCAAGTATTTTTACCTTCTAAGCATGAGTTTAGGATGTCGTCCTGCAACAGATTTCTCTAAAAGTTCCACTAACAAAGACTTTAAAATTCTGTAATAAAAACATAGAACAAACATTTTAAAATGGTACATGTTAAAAAAAAATAGTTTCAAACTGTAGACAGACAGTGTAAGTTTAGTAACAGGTTATTTCTATTATCCTACAATACCTGTATAATATATTAACTAGTATATATATAGATACTTACTCTGTTGCATATTCCATATTATTCTGATATACAATCATCAATAACGATGCTACATTCACCCTAAATATAAACAAACAACAAAATTATATAAATATGTGAGAGAGAGAGAGAGAGAGAGAGAGAGAAATGGGGTTTAACGTCCACACACGACACAAACTAGATCATATGGTTTTTAATTTTTATTTCAATAATTCACTTGCGCGTAGGGGTCTTTAGCAGTGGGAGGAAACCGGAGGACCCGGAGAAAACCCACAAGGTTGGAGATTCTTAATTAAACAGGTGGAAATTGGCTCTGAGGGAAGGAATTTTAGTCCAAAGAGGAACTTATAACTTTAAAGGGTTATCAAAATACATAACTAAATGCATTAAGGGAGATCCCAAAGAACATTTAATCAAACGGAAATGACCGTATGAACGCCCCAAATCATACAAGAAGATATTTTTTAACACTTACTTATCCCGAATGCTAAAATTTCGCTGATTTTCTAATGTTCGGATAAATGTCAGTAGGAAGAGTTTTTTATTAAGTAATTGTTGGAACATTTGTAAGCCTTGATCTGAGAATCGGAATCTGCCATTCTTCTGCTGGAAAATTACAAGATAATAATAATAATATGATGATGATGTTAAACATACATTATGTAAGACCCAAATCTATTTGAAGGCCTTTCTTCAGGCCTCAAATTATTAATTAGACATTTATTAACAGTAAAAGACTCAGAGAAAACCCATGACATCAGACAGGCGACCCTACTCTTTGTCACGTACAACCAGGGAATCAAATCCACACCAGTTGACTCAATGACAGACCTTATAATACAACGCGCACATGCTAACCATTCGGCCATTCAACCCTCATATTCGTAACAAGTGTTTCTGCCTACTCTTCCCAGAATTCTAACTGCCAATGGTTCTTTTACAAGCAGTTTTTCAGCCAATTGTATTAACTAGGCACATTTTTCTTGGCAGTGCCTCAATTCTGTATCAAGAACAATGAGTCTGCGTCATACTCAATAAGCCATCATGGCTCCTAGTGAAGAAGTGAGAGTATGAATGATCGCAAATGAACGTTATACTTTTCTGCACCGACCAAGCCAATGAAGACATAAGAGTATAAAGAGAAGGAGAAATGGGGTTTAACATCCACTCGACACAAACCAGTTAATTTTGAGACTAACATGTGAGTGTAAAGAAGTGTTATACTTACCAATGGTGGATGTAGAACTACATGATCTGTCATTCCAGGGAATAAAACTTTAAATGTATAGGTATGATAATCCCAGAACGGAATTCCACTTGATAATAAATCACCAGTTAAATCGGTCATGTCTGTCTGTAACTCGGCAAACGCTGAAATTTTAAAACAAGAAAATCAACACATAAGAAAGAAAGAGGGAGAGAGAAATGGGGTTTAATGTTCAAACTAGGTCATTTTGGGACTAACACATGGTTCAATTTTATTTTAATAATTCGCTTGTGTGTAGGGGTCTGTAGTAGTGGGAGGAAACCGGAGGACCAGGAGAAAACCTACGAGGTTGGACAGGCAACCCTACTCCTCGTCATGTACAATCGGGGAATCAAAACCACACCAGCTGACTCAATGACAGACCTTATGATACAGCGCGCATGTGCTAAACATTCAGCCATCCAACCCCCATTAGTAAAAGAATAACAGCTATTTTCATTAAGGTTTCATGTACAATAAAAGACAGTGGCATTTCAGCAATGGAGAAATGAAATAAAATGGGGTTTAAGGTTCTACTGTTCTGCTCTGAACTGGGGTAAGGCAGACAGGCATATGCCATACAGTGTGCTATAAGGGAAATTTTGCCCAGACAGCAGCACTACAACCTACTCTTATATTGCACTCCAACAGTCAAGGGCACGCCAATGTGTTTTTCGTCCCATCCGAACAACTAGACAGCTATTCTTGATTTTCTAACCCATCCGAATGACCATACATTGTCGCCTGCCTGACCCCCTGTCCTGCATCATTGACAAGGGGGAACCACGCCGGAAAATCTGGATAAACTATCTCAGCGAGCCAGCGTCTTACCCACTTAGCCACCGTGGCTCCAAGAGAATAACAGCCATTTTCATTAAAGTTTCAAGGAAAATAAAAGGACAGAGCATTTTGAACAGGCAGTGGCGGTACATCAATGGAGAAAAGAGAATAAGAATAAAAGTTTTGATGAGCCTCACCTTGTTTACATTCATTCCTCACGTTACTCTCCAGATTATCCAGTTGAATCTGTAATTTACGATAAATTCTCTCGGCTTTTGTACTTTGTCGTCTGTAGATAATGAGAATGAGGATGATGATCAGAAGGAGAAATCCACCACCAGCCGCGATACCAGCAATGGCTTCAAACGGGAATGCGTAGGCTTCAGGTATCTCGTACTGTACCTTACCAACTTGATATCGGACATTGTTAATCTGTACCTGTAATTGAAACAAAATCATATGATCCATCTGAATATCATAAATAAATGACATGAAAGGAAATGGGGTTTAACGTCCTACTGTTCTCCTCCTATACTAGGCTAATGAAGACAGGCATACGCCATATAGTGTGCTATGAGGGAAATTTTGCCCGGGCAGCAGCACTATCGCCTACTTTTATATCGAATTCCAACTGCCAAGGGATCTTTTACATGCATTCCAATGTATACACGGGACCTCGGTTTTTCGTCCCATCTGAATGACTAGACAGCTGTACTTGTCAGGCCCTCCCCGTCCTGCATCACTGACGAGGGGAAACCACGCCGGAAAATCAGGATGAACTTTCTCGGCCAATGCAGGGATCGAACACCCGACCTCCAGGCTAGCGAGCCAGCGTCTCACCCACTTAGCCACAGAATATACTAAATAAACAATCCTTGTAAACAGGAAAATAAACGTCAATAACTCTGCTGTGATAAATATAATATTATGCCACATTAGTGAGAGAGAGAGAGAGAGAGAGAGAGAGAGAGATGGGGTTTAACGTCCACGTGACACAAACTAGGTCATTTTGGGACTAACATCTGGTTCAATTTTATTTCAATAAATTGCTTGTGTGTAGTTAAACCCTGAAACAGAATTCTCCCCACCCGTATTTCTGTTTTGGTGGGGAGCTGGCCACCAGAATGCTTTCAAGCACCATTTGTAATGAAGCGACTCGATGAACGAGACTAAACATATCCCATGGGAAAATACTACTGCTGTAGACTGGAATAATCTGATGCCAAAGACTGCCATTCACTTTGGACACTTCGTGTATTTCGCCGAACATAACAGATTACATATTACATTATTATATGCGTGGCGACCCATTTGTTAGCTCCTTTAAATCAAATTGATTATAACTTCGATCTAAGACAAAAAAAATGAGAAAGAATTGAAGAGGCGTTATTTTGACAAAGTCACTGTGTAATAAAGATGTCAGAGTACAGGGGGAGATCAAAGGAACAGCCTGGTTAATCTCTTAAGATCTTACAAGTCAGAATACTGATCAGGTTTTAGGTTATTGAGTAATTCCCACATGGCTCACAAATAATTCCCTCAATTGTCTTCCTCAACACTTTTTTTTTTTATCCCCGCTTGACTATTTTAATCCACTATCTGATTTTGTTCATAACGACGGCGAAAATAAAATGCAAATTTTCATCCTGTCTGCATTCATTACTGACCTTCAAACCATCAAGATTTTCTTAAGCGACTATGTCAATCTCGCAGGCCAATCAAGATAATAATTTCACAGATTTTTCTCAGTTCAGTTACAAAAATGGGGTCTCTCGGTTACTTAATCATTATAATCACCTTGTAGGGATATCTGAAAACAACGATTCCCGACCGTTTTAAAATTCATGGATCAATATTTCCATAATTGAAATAAATCATAACGACAATACACGGTCAGATATTTTGACAGTTAATTACGGATCCTGTGGCAATCTAATATGGTAATTGTGAAACATGGATTATAATAAATGATTTTCATATTTTCAAATCAACTTTAATTCATCAAAATGCGGATATCCCACGAAAAAAATAAAAAAACAATCATTTCAATATCGGTTTCTCACACCATTTCGCAGTCAACATTCGAACTTTGACCTTTCTGTCACAAGCTGGATTACTCGGAAGGGGAGACTACATCAGATGAACTAATAGAAACAAAGGATTTCGGTAAATGAAAATAATCTTTTTAAATTACGACGGGCTGAGCTTATTCAATAAAATAAAGGGAAGTGTTTTTACGGTTTAATATCACGCAGAGTGTTTGTAATAACTGATCGAGATTGACTCAGGACCAATCAAGTGCAGTAACTATGAACACACAAGTCAAAGGGTTTAATAACCCAATATCTAGCAGTGATAACGATACGTGGCGCCGTTTTTATATCCTGAATCTCCTGCCATGACTACTTCAAACTTAGTTCACATGCCACAAACGAACTGATTCAAATTAAAATCTGCTAACTATTTTGATAAACGGGCGACGAACATGGGGGGATAACGGAGATTTATAGAACGGCATCGACGATGAATAAGTGATTTATGTGTGGCTGTGAGAATGTTTGCAAATTGCAGGCTGCCATATTTCTAATGACAAGAAATATTGTATTACCATGCACCATTCCTTCAAAAACATTAATTTCAATTTCCCACTATTCGTTCTGACAGCCATTTGCAAAAATAACCAAAAAGATTTTAATGGTCTGTGTTCTATCAGTTGCAAACACAAGGTTACGGAAGACATATTGCTAGTTGCCATGATAAACTGGCCGTGCTTTTCTATGATCTCTTTCTTCTTTTAGGAAAAAAAATTACCTATTAGTAAATGAACACTCAAGTCACAGCAATAAATGAAATGAAATGGGGTTAACATTTAATGTCCTACTTTTCTGCACCAACTGGGCTTACGAAGACATAAAGCAACACCGGTAAAACATATTATTTTAATGTGTTCTGTTTGTAATTGCCACTTTAAACATAATGAAATCTGATCACCACAGAAGTTTTCACATTTTCAGGGCAAGGGACAGTAAATACATGTATGCATGAAGAGAGAAATGGGGTTTGACATCCACGCGTTGTATCATAAGGTCTGTCATTGAGTCAACTGGCGTGGTTTTGATTCCCCGGTTGTTCATGACAAGGAGTGTGGTCGCCTATCCAACTTTGTGGGTTTTCTCAGGGTCCTCTGGTATCCTCCCACTGTTAAAGACCCCTACTTGCAAGCGAATTATCAAAATAAAATTGAACAATGTGTTGGTCCCGAAATGACCTAGTTTGTGTCGAGTGGATGTAAAACCCCATTTCTGTCTATCAGGGAAATTCAAATAGCTAACAAACGTCTGTCGAACTTCTGTATTTACAGACAAATTTCTCTGACACCATGAAGATGCTATAAACCATGTAATAGCCAATATGACAAAGAAAGCATAATTTGACAACAATAGGCATCGACATCCTGCCATCTGCTCAGAACCCAGAATGCACAGGACTCTGCCGCTCACGTCCCTAAGATTCATTTCACAATATTTGCTTGACAATCATACTAATTACTCGCCGTATTTCATATCATTTTCCACAATTATGAAAACTGGCATGACGATTACCGTTTTAATCATATGCATACATTGCCCATCTGTCCCCGTTAGAAACCAGCTCCCTGACGACACATCAAATAATATTTTAAATATCTTCATTGCGACTGCCATTTTATTTGCATAGCTGACAAGATTTACTTGCTTTGTTTTTTTCGCGACTCCCTTGAGACAGACCCGGAGGATATTATTTGGCAACCATTGACCTCATTTAAACGAGAAATTAAACTCAGCGTTTCGCGGGTTTTGACTTCCAAATATCATTACATCTCATTTGCTCTTTGATCAAATCTGCCGTCAGAAACATCATTTGATATTCCTGTGTTCTATTAGATAATCACGGCTAGTAATTAACCATTATTCAGTGCACATGTTCCTTATATTTTAATTATATCTCTCGTCTTTGAGAGAGGAAACTGACGGGCTCATTGTAGTCAGTTGGCCATTATTCAGTTTTCTTGCCTGATAAATCTTCGTGAAAAGGATCAAAAGTTATTTTTGAAATATCATTTACATCATTCTGAAGTTTTTTGTTTTTTTAGATAAAAGAATTGATTGAGTTTTGTGATAAATGAAGAAGTATGGATGACCTGTTCTATTTCCGAGATGTATTTAATCTGATACAAAAGAGAGAGAGAGAGAGAGAATGAGAGAGAGAGAGAGAGAGAGAGAGAGAGATGGGGTTTAACGTCCACTTGACACAAACTAGGTCATTTCAGGACTAACATATGGTTTTAATTTTATTTCAATAATTTGCTTGCGCGTAGGGGTCTTTAGCAGTGGGAGGAAACCAGAGGACCTAGAGAAAACCCACGTGGTTGAACAGGGGAGAGAGAGAGAGAGAGATAACTTGGTCAGTTTGGGACAAACACATGCTTCAATTCAATTTCTGTAATTTGCTTGCTGGTAGAAATATCACCCACAAACAATATAAGCAATAAATAATACAAGACAGTGCTTCTATTTTTTAAGTAAAAACTTTTGCAAATAGAGAGAAAGAAATGAATTTTAATGTCCACTCGACACAAACTAGGTCATTTCGGGACTAACATAATAATATGGATCAATTTTTTCAAAAATTCACTTGTGCGTAGGGGTCTTTAGCAGTGGAAGGAAACTGGAGGACCCAAAGAAAACCCACGAGGTTACTCCTGGAGAAAACCCACAAGGACTTTCACAAATAAGATGCATTATTCTTGAAAAGGGAATATTTTTTAACTGAATATAAGAAATCAACATCTGAATTAGAGGTATAAATCTTTAATAATAGGATCAGGATTTTCTGATGTGGTTTCCCCTTGTCTGTGGTGCAGGACAAGGGGCCTGACAAGATCCCTTGGCAGTTGAAATTCGATATAAGAGTTGGGCATAGTGCTGCTGCCCGGGCAAAATTTCCCTAATTGCACACTGTATGGTGTATGCCCGTTTTCATTAGCCCAGTCGGGGGAAACAACAGTAGGACATTAAACCCCATTTCATTTCATTTGAATATAGATCTCCAATAACTTTTGTTATTAACACTCCTTATACCTGCCAGATACAACCAATAATTATCTCTCCTCCCAAACCTTCAGGCATCAACCACCCTTGACCCCAAGTCTCATTAACCTTTGACCACGACCTGTGATTCATATCAACCTTTACATCAATTAACCTTTGACTTTAAATGACCAATAGAGGACTGTAGGGTATTAGGACAATTGAACTGGCTTAGAGCAATAAGATAATTGAAGTATGACCAACCCCGTGATCACAATATGGTACTCGTCAATTCATGGGGCCTCCATCATGACTACAATTAGCCTTTATATTTTATTAAATGTCTTTTTCTCTAATGATCAAATATTTTTCCCCCGTTCTATGAATGGTGGGCAGAAAAAAAGAAATTAACGAGCAGGTGGTTTTTATGGTTAATGAGACGATGTCGCTAATTACCTACTAATGACTTCCATCACCTCAACAACAGCTAATAAAAAAAATACTGGAGGTACTTTATGATCAATTAATACAGTACTCATTTAATACAAGCCCTAGGGTACACCACCCGCAATAACCATTGTACTCTTACTGTATACTACAACCAACAGAGAGACAGACATAGAGAGATGGAGATACTAATAGAGAGATAGACCAAAAGAGAGAGAGAGAGAGAGAGAGCGAGTGAGAGAGAGAGAGAGATGGTGAGAGAGAGAGAGTGAGAGAGAGAGAGAGATAGAGAGAGAGAGAGAGAGATAGTGAGAGAGAGAGAGTGTGAGAGAGAGAGAGAGATAGATAGAGAGAGAGAGACAGGGGGATACATTTCGAGACTAACATATGGTTCAATTTAACTTCAATAATCTGCTTGTGCATAGGGATCGTAAGGTCTGTCACTGAGTCAATTGGCGGGGTTTCGATTCCCCGGTTGTACGTGACAAGGAGTAGAGTCGCCTGTCCAACCTTGCGGATTTTCCCCTCCCACTGCTAAAGACTCCTACGAGCAAGTGAATTATTGAAATAAAATGAAACCATGTGTTAGTCCCGATATGACCTAGTTTGTGTCAAGTGGACCTTAAACCTCATTTTTTTCTCTCTCTCTTAATGTTAAGACATTTTGAAATTCACACAGAATTAATCTAACTACTATAGTTTTTCATTCAATGCTGTGAAGGCACAATTGTCCACACATCTTTTACATTTAATATTGACAAAAACTTACCACAACAACTGGTAACTGGTTGTCTGTGACTTCATCTTTCTTGTCAACAACTTTTGGTTGACGGATTGGTGGCAGACATACAATTTGAGTATTAGATAAGGTCGTAATATTACATATTCCGTTACCTATCATGACCTTGACATCTGATTTATCAGACGCTAATGAAAGAGCGTCACCCTGAAACAAAATATAAAAGATGTAATACAATCCATAGATGGAAATGAAATGAAATGGGGTTTAACGTCGTCCTACTGTTTTGCTCCAAACTGGGCTAATGAAGACAGACATACGCCATACAGTGTGCTATGAGGGAAATTTTGCCCGGACAGCAGCACTACGGCATACTCTTATATCGAATTCCAACTGCCAAGGGATCTTTTACGTGCATGCCAATGTGTACACAGAAAATAGGTTTTTCGTCTCATCCGAACAACTAGACAGCTGTGCTTGTCAGGCCCTCCATCCTGCACCACTGACAAGGGGGACCCACGCCGGAAAATCTGAATGAACTTTCTCGGCCAATGCAGGGATCAAACACCCGACCTCCAGGCTAGCGAGCAACGTCCTATAACTTCAAGAATAGATCTCTGCCTTGCATGGCGGCCATATCCAACAAGTCTCAAAATTCCTGACGTATACTTCAAGCTTTTGACTAAAAGCGTGGATTTAGGAATTAAAATGTTCGGTCAACAATCTCCTTGGATATAGCCCGATCATATAGGCCATTATATTTTTCAGTTGATGCGAAAATGAAAATTATGAATTTCGAAAAAAAAAATATAGGCCTACCTCAATTATCAGCATTTCTCCTTTAAATGTTTTAATATGGTTATCTTCCGTAAAATTAAACACAACAGGGTCAGGATAATACGCCAAATTAGATTTTACACCAAGACCTGTTAAATTTCTTAGGGCCATAACACCATCCATCTTAAAACCAAGCTGCACAGTAACAATTCTTGTTGATCTTTTAGTACGGACTACATTCTGCAAGGTGGATGGTAGCCGTGGTGTGGGACATTTCATCATCGTGTCACTCACAACTCTGCAGACCTAGAAAATAACAAGTTCACGAGAATATAAATATGTTGTCTGAGACAATAATAAAGTGGTTCTCAACCTTTGACAAACGGCACACCTTGGAACATATGAAAAAATAGCGGCACAACTTGCTAAATCTATATGAAAAATATTCGAATTTTGAAAAATAAAAACATGGAATACAACCGTCAAGACTAGCCATAGACATATAGAATGACTCAAACTAAATAAAGAAAAACAGAGCTATGAACTGAATTAATTGCAGTCTTTCGAATTTCATCAGTTAAATAGCCTTCTTTAGTGAGAAAGTTTCCAAGTGTGCCGTTCAAAATTTTGAACTGTGTTAGCTGACTTTGTCATACAAAAGTAAATATATATACGAATCCTATGCTGTCAATAATACTTTGGGTTCTAGTTTGTATATTAAATTCTTAATAGTTTCAAAACGTGTAAGAGCTGAATACAAATAGATAATGAAACCTACCGTAGCCTCAGTTAAATCAAATTCACCATCAGCTGTTGGTATATAGCCAAACATCTGGGGTTTCTGTATACACTCAAAATTACTTCCTTCTACATTCAAATATCTCCCTCCACTGCAAACATAATATTTATCATATTTAAATATGGATAAATGGTTGGATGGGTTGATGGATGGAAAGGACAAACAAATAATTGGAAGGTTAAAGAGATAGATTGATCAATAAACAAATAACCGAATAGATGGTCTGATAAACAAGTGGATAGATGGACTGATAAACAAGTGAATAGGTGGTTAATAGGCCGACTGCTAAACAGATGGATAGATGGACTGCTAAACAGAGGAATAGATGAACTGCTAAACAGGTGGATAGATGAACTGATGAACAGGTGGACTAATAAACAAGTGGATATATGGACTGATGAACAGGTGAATAGGTGAACTGCTAGACAGGAGGATAGATGGACTGATGAACAGGTGGATAGATGGACTGATAAACAAGTGAATAGGTGGTTAATAGGCGGACTTCTAAACAGGTGGATAGATGAACTGATGAACAGGTGGACTGATAAACAGATGGATAGATGGACTGATAAACAGATGGACTGATAATCAGGTGGATAGATGGACTGATAAACAGGTGGATAGATGGATCAATAACAGATAAGTGGACAGATGGACCAATGATATACACATGACCTTTGGTGTCACTTTTCCCTGAAGGTCCTGCACCAATGACAATCAGGCTGGAAAATCATGCGTGGTTTTCTGGCCAACACCTTGGAGCACAATACTTGATCACTAAGTCACCAACAAAATCAATCAGTGATTAAATTTACCTGGCAACACTCTTTCTAGGAAATATTCTCACTATTTCTGGATTCTCTTTGTAAATAAAATCATGAGTGAGAGAGAAAACTTGACCATCATATGATAAACTGATTGGTGTCTTGGGTTCAGCTTTCCATACTTTAGTTGTCTGACAGACCAATTGTTTGGATGTTATTGTTGCTCTGAAATTCAAATAAATAAAGAATAAATATATATATGCTTAAATCCATAAGACAAACCTGTGGATGACGATGAAAAGCACACGTGTTAACCATTCGCCCACTCCCGCCCCCCTCTTCAAGTGAATGGATCCATGTCCACTGCGCTGTACAGATTTAGGGCCTAAAGGGGAGAGGGAGGGCCCACAGATTCTCATTCTAATTGTTTTATGCAATATAATACTGATGCTGTAGCATTTACCCTAAATAAATCTTACTGAAAGTTTTGTTTCATTTTGCAAGACAACATTTTGTTTTACGATTTACTATTGCTTTTTTTTTAAAATTAGATATATATTACATAAATAAATCTGGTTTAGTATTATATTGTGGGGATATCAGTGCTTAGTGCCTCTATGGGTCTTAAAGCAGCTGTGTGCTTACCTGTCAACAACACAAGGTGCATCACCAAAGTTAGCATGTATAACACCACCAGTATCAAGATGTTCACCACTGATGGTTATCATTGAACCACCTGCTATAGGACCATGACTTGGATTAATCTGTTTTAACATTGGACTCTGAAATTAAAAAAACAGAATAATTAAAATATATATTTAACGCCAACTTAACAATATCTAGGTTAGGGCAGGTGACCCCTACACCTGGTTACATTCTGACTAGTGATGGTAATTGGCCAGTAAGTGTCGACTGACACCTGTACAAAAAGACTTGGATCACTCGTTTGGACTCTCCCGACTTGCACAGTGAACACGCATCATGATCTTCACCACTCGGCCACTTATCCTCCCAAAATAATGCAGTCCCACACAAAATCAAAGGAAGTCTGATTTTGAAAATGGTCTGTGACCATGTGTTTTATACTAATGGCTACAGTAACAAATTGTATGATGACAGCAACCATGATAGCTTTGGAAACAGTAGAAAACTTTTCACACTTGTTAGCTGGACTGAATGGTGGAAATTCAAATTGCACTCACCCTATAAGAGAATTCTTCCGTGTAAGTTGTGACATCACCATTAATAGAGATTTCTATTGGTCCTGTGGCTACCTGTCCTCTCCATTCAGCTCGACAAACGATCCTAAAAAATAAAAACATTTTAAATAAACTTATTCTAAATTTAAACTTTTACAATTCAGCACAAGATATTTAGTTTCATAGTTTTTTGCACCAATAGGTCTAATAAAGATGGACATACAGCCAAATGCATGGGCAAACCTGGCTGAAAAATCCCTGGGAACTTTCCAAGCCAACATTGGGATCCAATTCGGGGCTGTCTGGTTAGTGAGAAGGCACCATACTCTCCGAGTCAACACTTGGATCCAATTCGGGGCTGTCTTGTCAGTGAGAAGGCACTATACTCTCTGAGCCAACCTGGGATCTAACTCGGGACCATCTGGTTAGTGAGAAGGCATTATACTCTCTGAGTCCCTCTGGTTTCCTTGTCCTTTTGGAATTCAGATCCATTTGATCAAAATGACTATTCAATGGATTTTTACGTCCAAACATTCGCATCCTAACAGTGGCTACCCATAGTGCAGAGTGCTTAATAAGAAGCACAGGTTTGCTTTTCAATGTAATTCTGGATTTAACTTACCTTCTGGAAGGGGAGTAGAGATGTCTGTAAGGTGTACATTTTACACTAGCGATGGTCACAGAATTCTTAATATCCTCAAACTTAGCTCCTAGATTAGTTCCTTCAATCGTTACGTTGGTACCTCCGTGAATCGGTCCAGACATCGGCCATACCTAAAATAACAAATTTTATCATCATTAATAACAATACACCCGACAAAAAAAAGAGTTTTAAAGGGGGGTGGGGGTAAGTATGAGGAGAGAGGACTTTTATTCTAAAGGGGAAAGGAGGGGGGGGGGGGTCTAGTCAACAAATCAAAATTAAATATTTCTATCTCCGTTTAAGTTATTTCAGAAAAAAAATAAATCCACAGATCTTAATATTTGTAATGATTCTCTTACTGTCAAATGGAGCTTTAAAATTAGGTTTCAACTTACGTAAGATATTCTAGGTGCAGGACACGATGAAACAGGAGGAAGTGGACATTTTGTCATATACTGACAAGAATCAGAACACCAACGACAGTTGAGAAATGGCTTGGTGTAATTTATATTGATACACAATCCACATTCTTTATTGGCTAAAACTCCACATTTATATAGGGTGGCTGAAATATGAAAAAAACATGTTTTAATCAATTTTACCTTGACGGCAAGATATAGTTTGAATACTTGAATATTTGGTTAGTTTGAATGTTTGGCTAGTTTGAATACTATGAATTTTGGCTAGTATGAATTTTGGATAGTTTGAATACTATGAATTTTGGATAGTTTGAATACCATAACTTTTGGATAGTTTGAATACTATACAATTTTGGATAGCTTGAATATGAACAATTTTGGATAGCTTGAAAAAGTAAGTCTGGGAAAGAGAGACAAATGGGGTTTAATGTCCATTCAACACAAATCAGGCCATTTCGGAACCATCACATGGTTCAATTTTATTTCAATAATTCGCTTGCACGTAGGGGTCTTTAGCAGTGGGAGGAAACCGGAGGACCTGGAGGAAACCCACGAGGTTGGACAGGAGAAATTCTGGGAAAGTCTGAACTCACCTGTAAGATATGTGGTAGCTTCTAGAGTAAAATCATTGCCCCAATAAACAGACAGATGGGCATCTATACTTCCTTTCTCAGCAAAGTAATTAATCTGAAAAAATAAAATATTGAAATAACAGTGGAAAAACAGGTCATGTTTATAACATCATCAGGATAGTAAATGAAGAGAACAATGAAGCCCATAACTGTTTTATAAGGATTCGGTCAAATGTTGGTTTCCATGACAGTTTACAAGTTATACTCGAAATTGTTCATCAACTGCTTGCCAATGAATGTATGATTTGTCCAGAACTGAACAAAGTTATAGGTGGGATACTGGAATGGGCTCAGTCTATCTTTCGTTCGCAATTTGTTTCCAGAGCATATCTCAAAAACCGTTCAAGATATCTTTATGAAACTTTGTACACACTTCAACCTGTGACAATAGCTGTACCCTTTGCTAATTAAAAATTTGTCATATTTAATCATTTTTGTGTTGCCTTGGACACAAATTAGACTCAGATTTTGGTATACAATGGTGCAGGATGCCGACGACAGAGTCTTCTTGTTTTTAGAGATATGTATTTTCTATTCCTACCTTTGGCATATTACATGTGATGTGGCGATCATCCAGTCGTTCGGCTTGAGCCTCGTATATTTTTTCACCAGTGTTGATTTCACATCTATAACTAGCGTGGTTGGGTCGTAATCGGGGAAAATTGTATCCTTTGAGGAGGATGACTCTGGTCACATCGACAGGAATGTTCAGTTCTCCTGTCTGTTCTGAATCTATTCTGGGACAATGTAATGCGCCACGTACTCCTGGTTTGCTGCTCTGTAAAAGTCAAAGGAACATGAAAGAAATGAAATGAAATGTAATGGGGTTTAACGTCCTACTGTTCTGCTCCGAACTGGGCTAATGAAGATGGGCATACGCCATACAGTGTGCTATGAGGAAAATTTTGCACGGACAGCGGCACTACGGCCTATTCTTATATCGAATTCCACCTGTCAAGGGATCTTTTACGTGCACGCCAATGTGTACACAGGACCTCGGTTTTTCGTCCCATCCGAACAACTAGACAGCTGTCCTTGTCAGGCCCTCCGTCCTGCATCACTGACAAGGGGGAACCACGCCAGAAAATCTGGATGAACTTTCTCGGCCTCCAGGCTAGCGAGCCAGCATCTTACCCACTTAGCCACGTGATCCCCGAACATGAAATAATCGGATGTGAAACTACAAAGATTTTATACAACATAAGTTCCAAAGCAAAGATAGGGAGTTGGGTGATCTAACATGTGCGCTTTAGATCATCAGGTCTGTCATTGAGCCAACGGGCTTGGGTTCAATCCCCAGCTTTTATGTGACAAGGGAGTAGGGTCACCTGCCCAAACTAGAAGGTTTTCTCCTTGTACCCCGGGCCTCCTCCCATTGCTAAAGACCCCTTCGCACGAGCGAGTTATTGAAATAAAATTTCTACATAATATGTTAGTCCCAAAATGACCTTGTTTGTATTGAATGGACGTTAAACCCCATTTCTCTCCAAAACAAATTAAGAAAGTTTTTCTCAAAATTCAAACTTAAGTTACATAAACTTAATATCCATGAACAAAGCTTTCTGCATTATCCTTTATAAACAGTTTTGATTTTAAACTGAACACAGAAATAAATTCAAATACATCAGACTTGAGTAGAAAGTGGAACGGATTAAAAACAAATTAAACAACAAATGGGATCACTTACTCCTTTTCCACGGATAATATTCTCGTTGCAGTGTTTAGTGTCATGGAAACAGCCGTTGTCATAGATACACCAATCACATTCAAATTCAGAATTTGTGCAACTTGTACAGCTGTAACGAAGAATTAAAAAGATTTACAACCCAATAAATCTTACTAAGACCAAAAAGACTTTTTAGAAATTTAACAAATTTCTCTCCGTAGTATAATCAATCTTCTTGTTGTTGAAAGAGTTCAGATGTACTTTTTTTTTTTTGTGTTTTTTTTTATTTTCAAGCTACATATATAAAAAAACTACAGAAAGATCTCGGCTAATTTTCTACAAAATATTCCAGTTCTGTTTGAATGGAACCGCAAATAAATGAAATTGACGTATACTCACTCTTTGAAGTTGGTACAATTATAAAACGTAAACGGCTTTGTCACGAAGAGTTTGCCAGTTTCGCTGGAATTCAGTGCCAGAGTGATCGTCTTTGATCCTGAAATTGAAAAGATTTTAATAGAAATAAATATGGCAAACGGTTCCATCTTTATGTATCTGAATTACAACAAAAAATGAATTGTAAACATATCAATTTTCTAATTTATATTTTTTTATTCAAAATTTCGAATTTTTTTCCGCCCAATTCAATAAGAGGAGAAATAATGCATTTCTCTTAAATAAACATTTCTTTAAGTTGTAAGACCAATATTGACATAACGCTGTGTAACCAATCGATGTTAGATTTCATTATTACATTTATCTTTATTCTCAAGCTCAAATTCTGTTTATTTGGGTTGCTTTAAAGGGGGATTAACACTTTTGATGTGTTCAAAGACAAAATTTGTTTTTTTGACGTGCTAAAATGAAATGACATCAGGTTTAACACAGGGAGGGCCCTTATTTAAAATCTTTTGTTTACTTCTGATTGGCAAATAATATGACAATTTTTAGTATCATCCCAAGTGGCCTAATAATCAATGAAGATGGGCATGCAGCTATTGTCCTAGAGAGAGAGAGAGAGAGAGAGAGAGATGGGGTTTAACGTCCACTTGACACAAACTAGGTCATTTTGGGAATGAAATTATGGCTTAATTTTATTTCATTAATGCTCTTGCACTTAGGAGCGTTTAGCAGTGGGAGGATACCAGGGGGCACAGAGAAAACACATGAGGTTGGACAGACGACCCTACTCCTTGTCATGTACAAGCCGGGAATCAAAACCATTCCACTTGACTCAATGACAGACTCCCACCCACCCCCTTGGCGCTAGTGGAAGCAGTATTTTCAGACTAGTTAAACAATAATTCTCTTACCTTCAACAGTGAGTGCTGGAGCCAACTTGGAGAAATCTGGTGTGGGACATTTGGCACCAAAATACCACATCTCCGCTGGAGAACTCCAGTTTAATTCCCGGTAAACACAACTATAGGTACTTGTCTGAGGTAACTGTGGTATTGTCAAATGGAGCTGAAAGTAAAAATCAAAAACGAATGGATGTGATCAAAAGTGACAATTGCATTTGGTTTTGACTGATTGCAGGCCAATTTGGGATAATAGGCTGGTTGGGAAGGTTATTTCCTTACAGACAATTATCAGGAATTCTGGGTTGGGTTCGGGAATCTTTAAAGTGCTGGCAATACTTCACATGAGATCTATCTGAACAATACAATGGATAATCCTGACTCTTTATTACTGCAGCAATGACACTAGACAATCAAGACTATGTCAAAACTTTAAACACTCATAACTTCATTCAATGTTAAATTGTTAAATAATTTGACTGAAATTATCAGTATATTCATTTCTCATTATCTATTTTAAAATTATTATGGCAAGAGCAACCAACCTAGACAAACAGGCACATGTCAAAGACTTTGTCCAGTACAAATTATCACACAACATATTATAAGGTGCCTTATGTCCATGCTTGTAAATATAAATTTTGTGGGGACCACGGTGGCCAAGTGGGTAAGACGCTGGCTTGCTAGCCTGGAGGTCTGGTGTTCGATCCCTGCATTGGCTGAGAAAGTTCATCCAGATTTTCAGGCGTGGTTCCCGCTTGTCAGTGATGCACAACAGAGGGCCTGACAAGGACAGCTGTCTAGTCGTTCAGATGGGACAAAAAACTGAGGTCCCGTGTACACATTGGGGTGTACGTAAATAATCCATTGACAGTTGAAATTTGATATAAGAGTAGGCCGTAGTGCCGCTGTCCAGGCAAAATTTCCCTCATAGCACACTGTATGGCATATACCCCGCTTCATTAGCCCAGTTCGGAGCTGAACAGAAGGATGTTAAACCCCATTTCATTTCATTTCTTATAATTTGTACTTGACAAAGTCTGTGACTGGTGCATCTTTAAAAGAGAAATGTACTGAATGCTACCTCACCCCTGGTGGTATAATCTATATATGATATTAATACTAGAACTGTAGAACCTAAATAAACTGTATTTAATATACACTGATGATCAAATAACAAACACCTTTAACATATGTTCAACTGATGACCGCCAAAATAAACGCACATAACATAAACTATCTCATAAATCACTGCATAAAGAATTTATTGTTTTTTTCTTAAATAAAAGATGCAATAAAAAATTGAGTACAAGATAATGCTTAAGAAATGTCCTACTGTTCTGCTCCAACTGGGCTAATGAAGACAGGCATGCGCCACACAGTGTACTACAAGGAAATTTTGCCTGGGCAGCAGCACTATGGCCTACTCTTATATCGAATTGCAACTGCCAGGGGATCTTTAACATATACACAGGACCTCGGTTTTCCGTCCCATCCGAACAACTAGACAGCTGTCCTTGTCAGGCCCTTCGTCCTGCACCACTGACAAGGGGGAACCACGTCGGTAAATCCCGATAAAGTCTCTCGGCAAATGCACAGATCAAACACACAATCTCCAAACTAGCGAGCTAGCGTCTTACTCACTTGCCATTGTAGCTCCCAATAATGCTTAAGCCATGTTGTGTTGTTTCAATGGAAATAACACAATATGTGCTGAAAACTGTGAGAGAATGTCCCAAGGATGCCCCAAAGATTATAAGAAAATGCTGCCACAAACTGTATGAGTGAAATGCAACCAGAAAAGAGTATGAGAAATTATTATTAAGGAAAGATCAAACAACTCGACACAAACTAGGACATTTCGGGACTAACATATGGTTCAATTTTATTTCAATAATTCGCATACAAGTAGGGATCTTTAGCAGTTGGAGGAAACCAGAGGACCTGCGAAGTTGACAGATGACCCTACTCCCTGTCACGCATAACCGGGGGATCAAAACAACGCCAGTTGACTCAATGACAGACCTTATAATTCTGTTGTACTTTAGATCAAATAAACATGAACAATGTGACATTTTAGTTAAATCAAGTAATTCACTCTATATAACTCTACTTCAAAGAAAAATAGTTCTCAATAAAAAAAATCGTGTCAATTCAAAAATGACTTTTAGCATGATATCAACAGTCAGTTGACCTTTGCGTGTGAATTTCACACCGCTCAAATTCACCCTATATGATAATAACAGGAGTTGTTTAATGTCATTTTCTTTTTCCTTCTTGATGTTATGGTTTACCCGCAGGAGAAAGCTTAGTTATCTAAAAACTTCACACAAATATAAAAACATTTTATCAATAATTGTATTTATCTGAATTGAATTTTAAGCCATGACAGGTGATGGGGATTTGTGAAGATAAAGAGAGAGAAATGAAATGAAATGGGGTTTAACATCCTACTGTTCTGCTCCGACTGGACTAATGAAGATGGGCATATGCCATACAGTGTGCTATGAGGGAAATATTGCCTGGGCAACGGCACTATGGCTTACTCTTATATAGGATTCCAACTGCCAAGGGATCTTTTTCGTGCATGTCAATGTATACACAGGACTTTGGTTTTTCGTACAATTCAAACAACTAGACAGCTGTCCTTGTCAGGTCCTCCATCCTGCAACACTAACATGGGGGAACCACGTCATAGTTAAAGAGAGAGAAATGGGATTACTGTCCATTCGAAAAAAAATAGGTCATTTTGGGACTAACAAATGGTAAATTTTATTTCAATGAAACTGGAGGACCCGGAGAAAACGGACGAGGCTGGTCCCGTTCCTTTAATACAGACCTGCCAACAATGACATGCAATGCATGTGTTAGTATATATATATGCTCTGCGCTAACTGATGTTTTAACTGTCATCTCTAGACCCGGTAAATATAAGCAATATCAACCAGACTCTTTATGCTTAAAATAGCTTAACCATATCTACACCCGGTAAATATTAGCAATATTAACCAGACTTTTAACACCTAAAATAGCTCAAGCAGAATGTTTAAACAAGTGTAATGTTACTTGTTAGATAGACAGATTCACATACTCGACTCATTTGATCGCAAAAAAATAAACCATTAGCCCATCTAAACTTAACTCAAGTCATGTTTGATGAATCTAATAAAAGTATTCCATACAAATCAAAATATTTACTACAAATAATACCACGTGGTGAAATTAGAAACTAAATTCTATCATAATTTTACGGTGATTTCGATGCAAAATGATCATGTTGAAGTCATCCCAGTTTTTTTTTATAGCTTCTCTCTGACGTCAAACTTAATTATAACGCTCATACTTTAGCAAGGGGAATAATTCATTTCATACTCTTCAGGACTGATACAAATGTAAACAATGTCTAATTGTTCCGCATCTGATTTTTTGACTGGCAGAAAACTCACAAAAAAAACACCAAGCCTACCAAAAATATAAGTATGGAATGTCCTTAAGACGTAATTGGAGTTCCAACGAGATAAAATTATGTACCAGTGAAATATTTGGTAATGCATAAAGATTATTATAAGCGAATAACTATGGTAAGAAAGGATATAACATTTTGACTACACTAGATCATTATTGCACGTTGTGTGGCAATCATCACTGACAAGGGAAAACCATGCCAGAAAATCCTGCGGTACTCTCGGTAATTAAGATTTATTGTTATCCCTTTTAGGCGTAGAGCTCTCTCTCATAGAGCTCTCTATCGTCCCTCTCACTAGACAAATGGTACAAGAGAGAGAGAGAAATGGGGTTTATTTAACGTCCACTCAACAGAAACTAGGTCATTTCGGGACTAACATGCAGTTTCATTTTATTTTGATAATTCACATGCGCGTAGGGGTCTTTAGCAGTGGGAGGAAACTGGAGGACCCAGAGAAAACCCAGGAGGTTGGACAGGCGACCCTACTCCTTGTCACATAAAATGTTACGAACACTGTATTCAATACTGAAAAGTAAAAACCCAAGCCGTAAAATCTGGATGCACTTTGTCGGGTTCAAAACGGACCACTCCTGGTTATCAAATCATCCCCTTACCCACTGAAGCTACCAGGTGATCTGTAACATGTTCTAAAAAAATTATTTCAATGGCATTTAGTAATGGAAGTGGAATATACAAGTCACAATTGTATCGAATACAATTACTGCTTATTACTGAGCGTAGTTTCAATAATGACTGATAATGACTAGAGAAGCCTAGTTGAAACATCACTCAGTTATAAGCACTAATTGTATTCCATAAAATTGTGACCTGTATGTTCTAAAAAAAGTTTCTTACCTCTGCGACCGTGGTAACAGAAGTGGTTTTTGGTGTAATGTTCGTAATATATATACACTGATTGGCGCTACCGTGTAACCATCGAGACTGGGTTGGATCTCCAGAATTTGGACACACAGACTTCAAGGTGCACCTGGAAAAATAAATTTCAAAGAATGTTTACTTATTAAATTTTTTAAAAAATATGCACTACCAATTGTTATCTTCTAGCAGAGAGAAGCGTGGGGTTAATATTCACTTAACATGAACTTGGGACTAACATGTGGTTATTTTCATTTCTATGTTGGCAGAGAGAGAGAGATGCACGTTGGTTTTTAGCAGTGGGAGAAAACCAGAGGAAACGGGGGGAAACCCATGCGGTTGGACAGGCGACCCTACTCCTTGTCATGTACAAGTGGGGAATCGAAACTGCGCAACTTAACTCAATGACAGACCTGATCCAACGCCCCTAGGCTGACAATGGATGGAATCTCGATAACTCGAAGAAAACCCATGGAGTTAGGCAGATGACTGTACTCCTTGTCACATACATGTCTGGGATCAAAGCCCATCTACTCGACTCAATAACAGACCTGATGATCTACAGCACACACGTCAGATAACTTGTCCCACCTCCCCTTTATGTGCATAGGTTCTCCATTTGCATATTGTGCTGCAGGGAATTAATTATTCCATCCAGGGAAATCTGCAAGTTATTTGCATCTCTATGCAATTAGAAAAAATGCAAATGGAGTACTTTGCATTAACTGCATCAAAGAAAGAGAAGAGGAATAAGACCAGAAAAAGAAACTATTTAAAAAGTGAATTTGTTATTTATTGAAGTGAAAGTAGAATGGTTAGATTTGATCGATTCTTCTCATGGCATAATCTGCCAGAGATTTAAACACTAGTCCCCAATAGACACCAAAACAATCCTGATGGATTTTTCTACACAAAATAAAGATTGTCTTAGCCTGAGAATTTATTCCATATAAATCTGCTACAGTATAATCAATAGGTAATTCACTATCCCTAACATCCAGTCTCTTTTATCATATCAACCCTTGAGTGTACATGAGATATAGAAAGAGGGAGAGAGAGAGAGATTACTGCCCAGTCAACAAAACAGAGAAATGAAATGGGTTCAGTATGTTACTTTTCTGCACCATTCAGAGAGAGAGAGAGAGAGAGAGAGAGAAGGAGGGGGGAATGTAACCTTCACTCATCACAAACTAGAAAGAGATTAGGTCATTTTGGGACTAAGAAATAGTAGAAGTGGGGGATGCCAGAGGACATGACCAGAATTTGGATCTGAAGGTGCACTCTGAGGAGCCAACTCTTTCATGCAAATGAATCTACTGTAGTCAAGGTTATACAAGTCTTTGTACTTTTTGACTTGACGATATGAAGACGCATTAATTCAAGAAACATGATTGCTACTCATTAGGTAACAGCAAACAATGTTATATGGTATTGATTAAGATATCTCAGACTTGTATAAAAAAAAATATATATATATCAATGTATCCTACTACCTTTATATATATATATATACATAATATTGATTTTTCAACCCTAATGACTTTCTCCTCACAGTCTTCAGCATGTTTGAATAAATGGTTTAAAATAAATCATTAGCAACTTTCTATGATGGTCTGAAAACACTTGACTGTGAATTGAGAATAAAGGTGTTGAAAGAAAAGAAAGGATGAAAATAAATCTTGAGGTGTTTTTTGTTTTAAAAGAATATATCGACAATCAAAACAAAGATCTAACAAATACTAGATTTAGAAATAATCGGTCAGTGCTAAAATAAATCAGAAAGAATATATCGACAATAATAACCAAGATCTAATAATTACTGGATTTAAAAATAATCAGTCAGTGCTAAAATAAATCTTGAGAGATTTTTTCAGAAAGAAAATATCGACAATCGTAACCAAGATCTAATAAATACTGGGTTTAGAAACAGTAATGGTAGAGGGAAGATCGACAGAGCACCCAAAATTTGCTGAAAAAATTAACAAATTAACCCTTAACCACCTGGCAAATATTCACTACTATACATCATTCCCTCAAAAAAAAAAAAAATGTGACCTTTTTTACGTTGAGTTTTGCAGCTTATTTTCAAAACCCCTAAAAAAAACTGTGTCCTAGAAAGTTTGAGTCACAGAACAATTCACAGCTAATCATGTGACTTACATGCTTTGAGATACTAGAGGAATACCAGAAGTTCTGGGAAGTCCAAAAATTAAAGGGTTAAAACATTTGGGTGCAGACACATTGAACGAAGAGTAGAATAATGAAAAGTCCCAGGTCTGAGGGAGTAATCATTTCAGTCCGTTTCTGGCAGTACGGTTGTTAATGGATGAGACATTTGAGTGCAGACCTCAGACATTAAATTGTTCTTTTTTTTACTGACCTTTGTTCCAGAGAACACCAACCACAGTAAGGATCCCGATCTGATAAACAGTTGTTACATAATTTATACTGATTACATCTCTCTACCATCACTCTAGTTACCTGTAATAATAAACAACATAATTTATACTGATTACATCTCTCTAACATCACTCTAGTTACCTATAAAAATAAACAACATAATCTATACTGATTACATCTCTCTAACATCACTCTGGTTACCTGTAAAATAAACAACATAATTTATACTGATTACATGCCTCTCTATGAAATGAAGTGGGGTTTAACGTCCTACTGTTCTGCTCCGACTGGGCTAATGAAGATGAGCATATGTCATACAGTGTACTATGGCCTATGGTGGCTCAGTGAATAAGGTGCTGGTTTACTAACCAGAAGGTCCAGGGTTCGATCCAGGTCTAGGTCAAGAAAGTACCTCATGATTTTCCGGCGTGGTCATATTGTCGCAGACATGAAGATGCCTTGACGGTTGAAATTATAAATAAGAGTAGGCCACAGCGGCGTTGTCGTTGCAAAATTTCATCATATCTTTATTAGCTCAGTCGGTGCCGAGCAGTGTGACTTTAAACCCAATTTCATTCATTTGATATCTCAACAAGCCATATACACAAAGACCTAAATGAACCATCTAATGAAGACCAGCACCCTTCTAATTAGACCCACGAGTACATGCATGACATATACCAATTCAATCTATCCTAGTTCTGCTGAAGATATTGTTTCAAACACAAAAAAAAAATAACTATAAAAGTTATTGTCTTGAACATGAAACTATAAACCAGACCGAACAGAGAACCAGGACTACATATTTTAATCCAAAAAATTACAGAGTTTTGGAACCAAAGACATTCATCATATAGATGAAATATGACTCTGCATAAAAAACAAATGCATTTAATCTCTTTGAGAAATGCATGAAGACTACAGGCGCCATGTTGCATTATATTTTCCAAGCCTGGAGATCTTATGTTGTCATAAATCAGATTCAATGCTAATCCTTACAGTGGTAACAGGAAATCGTACAAATGATCATATAAATCAACAAAGTCATATATGGATTGTTACGAGTTTAATTTCCGCTTCTTAAACTATGCTGATATCTGGGTAATTCTCATGTCTTGCCTCGACATATTGGCTGCACTAAAATCTCGAAGAAATCGTGTTGTTAATACCAAGCGGTTCTGTTAGTCTCTGAGACTTATTTTAAGCAGGAACCGTGAACATGCTATAACGTTGTTTAAACGCACTTTGATTGACATCTCCTAATAAGAAATATGAATCATATTTCATAGTTTTATCGATATCATCTTTGGTTTATTACCGAAATAAAAACTGTCAGAAATGTTTCCTATTCTGACAACTGTAAGTAGAGAAAGAGCCTGGTAACTAGCATGCAATATGAAAAGAGAAACGTTTAAATTTCTAAAGCGACGGTTTCTGTCAAATAAGATCAAATTATAATATAAAGTAAATGGAAATCAATGTAATACTTCTGTTATTTGGGAATTATAGTGAAATAAACCAGAGAGAGAGAGAGAGAGAGACAGAAAGATGTGGGACTTAACTCCACTTAACATGAATTAGGTGATTTCGGGACTAACTTATGGTTCAATTTTATTTCTATAATTCACATGCACGTAGGGGTCTTTAGCAGTGGGAGGACACCAGAGGGCCCGGAGAAAAGCCACAAGGTTGGACAAGTGACCCTACTCCTTGTCACATACAAGTGGGGAATTGAAACCACACCATTTGACTCAATGACAGACCTTGTCATTTCATGCACGTAGTTAAACAATTCAGAATTTCAAATAAGATTAGGATGCAGTATCGCTGTCTGGGCAAAAGTCCTCTCATATTATTACACTGCACCATGTATGTCCGTCTTCATTAGCCTTGTTGTTGTGGAAAATTAAAACATTCAACCCCATTTTATTTCATTTCCAATATAATAATTTATTTTAGAGAGAGAGAGAGAGAAATGGGGTTTAACGTCCACTCAACACAAACTAGGTCATTTTGGGACTAACGTATGGTTTAATTTTATTTACATAATTCGCTTGCGCGTAGGGGTCTTTAGCAGTGGGAGGAAACCGGAGGACCCGGAGAAAACCCACGAGGTTGGACAGGCGACCCTACTCCTTGCCACGTACAACCGGGGATTCGAAACAACGCCAGTCGACTCAATGACAGACTTTATGATACAGCGCGCGCACACTAACCATTCAGCCATCCACCCCCCCTAATAATTTATTTTGACTGGAGTCAAAAAGTTTATCCCCTTTAACACTTTATTGAACTTTCAGTTTTAGAAGAAATTTTGATTGACAGCCATTAGAATAGAATCAATTACAAAAGATGAGAAATAATTGTGGTATTCTTTTGTTTGAGAGAGAAAAACTTTCAGAAATTATTTCCGTTTTTTGTCGAGAGCTCAAGAGAATTAGGAAGAGGTAATAAAGCTAACCCGGAGTGTCTTTTGGAAATTATTTAGAAGCTTTTAACTCCTTTTGAACGACGAAACTCTCCATGCTTTCACTATGCTTTCATCGATAATAAAATTTCTACAATTGATAATTAAATACTGAAATCCAAATTGGATACGAAGTCATAACAACTTAATTTAGTTCAAGAGGGCAGAAAAATATGAGAAATTGAACCCAACTTAAAAATTTTATAAACTAATTAAGTCATGCGGAATCCCCAAAAAACAAACCACTGTGTATTTGCCGAGGGACATGATGGCCTAGGGCAAGGCGTGTCAAGTTTGGGTTTTTAATTAGGTTTTTTGCAATGGGATATCTGTTCGATTCCAAATCATCTTCCTTAAAAAATGCTCAATCGACTTGTCCTCGTTGGTCGTCAATATCATTAAAATATTTCATGCGTTCTATCCCTCAATTAGCCCCTAATTAACTTAGTTCTCAAAATGGTTGCTTTTTTTCCCCTAATCAAATCCCCAAGAGAAAGAAATAAACGTGTTAATTTGAGACTGATGCAACTAATTCTCTTAATGTTAATTCCGCCAGCAGACATTACGCCATGATGAAATGTCCAATGATATGAGCACGGTATCCACTGACCTTGACGGCCCTTTGTTACAGAAGTAGAAAATGTGTGACAAAAAAATTGTCTGGCGTGGAATTTCAATGATTAGTCAGTCGACTCCTGCTTTTTATGGTTTTTTCTTCATTAAACGACTGCACTGCCTTGAATAGGAGTTCCAAAATAATGACATGCATTATCCCCCCCAAACATTTGAAAAGAATAAATTTGGTGTCGAACGATCTGATATCAGCTGGTACAAGAAGTATTACACAGTAGTCACCCACTTGTCTATTGTTCCAACCAATCAGATTATTTAATTATTCGACTAAGACAAGGGATTGTGGCTCGGGGGTGACAAGACAATCTAGTCTATCTTAAATCCAATCACTGCTTAGTATTAAGTCTCGATGCTGGTATAGTTTCATTATTTTAATCAGCTTTTCTTTGATTATTTTTTTTGTTTTTCACGCGAGAAACAAGCAGCTTTGTCTCCGCGCGATAGTCCTCAAAGGAGACAATAGTTTGCGGCAATATACTCGGTAATACTGCTGACCCTGTACTCAGATTCAACAAACATCTTTTCATGTAAATGACTTTAAAGGGACAATCTGCTGTTTTTATGTTAGAATACTAGACCTCCTGTGTCCCACTCAACTAAACACTGAACATTTCAACAAATTAACTATAAATGTTCAATTCAAATATTTCGTCTTAGCGAGTGAACCTTTTTGCCTCATATAAAAGCATCCTTTACCAAAATCAAGACTGTTGTTACCGTTATACTAATTATGCTGCCGCTGAGAATGGAGACTTTCAAGGGGTGTGAAGTACTGACATTTGAGAAATGAAATGAAATGAAATGGGGTTTAATGTCCTACTGTTCTGCTCCGACTGAGCTAATGAAGATGGGCATACGCTATACAGATTGCTATGAGGGAAATTTTTCCCAGGCAGCGGCACTATGGCCTACTTTTATATCGAATTCCAACTGCCAAGGGATATTTTACGCTCATGCCAATGTATAAACGAGGCGTTGGTTTCTCGTCCCATCCGAATGACTAGACAGCTGTCCTTGTCAGGCACTCCGTCCTGTACCACTGACAAGGGGAAGCCCTGACCTTTGAGAACCACAGTCTTATACATTAGATAATATATCTGTATACAGAGTCTTAAAAATGTCCAGGCCTTTATGAATGACTTATGCTTTTTATTTCTATTATGAACGATTAGTTTCAGAAATTCAAAGTTTGAGGGAGTGGATGGATGTGGGTTGGAGTTGGTTATTTGCCTCTCATAGGGTAAGAATCAAATAACTCTAACAGGCACCTCTTTAACAAATTAAGTTTATAATCAAATCGAACAATCAACACTTCACATCAAATTTGCTTTGTTGTCCAAGATCCTCTTCTACAATCCCAATTTTTAGTCAACATTTGCTCCTTTAGTCCAAAATAGTCATCAGAAATAGTCACACGCCACCATTGTTTAGCCTGAGGTGTTGAGGTCCGTCTAATAGTACCGTCATATTTGATTAGTTTAACAAAATAATGCGGAATTTATTCGATTTTGTCCACTTAGCAATAATCTTAGAGCAGCTTTATATTAAATTATCACCATTCCTTGAGCTCCGCATTTATAAATTAATGAATTTCCATTTTTAGGAACGGCATCTTAACAAAAGCTGATTGTGTTTTAAGTATGGTACTAGGAAAGGAATGTTCTTATTCTCAGTAGAACTCATTAACATGACAACTCTTGGAATCTGAGAACCAATACATTCGGTTTGCTACTCCAAATGTCATTAAAATATTAATCTCTTTATTTCCCCCCCCCCCCCCCCGCAACCCCTTTCCCTCATTCTTACCATGATTATGATCAACAATGATTAAATGAAATAACGGCCACATTGTCAGTCTGACTGATGAAAGAAAAGGTGTTTAACGTTCTACTTTTTTGCATCAATCACACTAATAGAGACGACCATACTCCATGCAGTGTGCTACGAGGGAAAATTCGCGCGGACAGTGGCTCTTCCCCATACTCTTCATCGAATGTGTCAAGGGTTATTGTACATACACACAAACATGATCTGTTTTTCATACCATCCAAATGACTACTCCTTTTTTTATGCCAGGCCCTCCCTCCTGCCGAGGGGTGAATAAGGCATGAAATTGACCCCTGGTTATTGAACCAGCACCATATTCACTAAGCCACTTCTGACTGATATCAATTTGCATGAATTTGGGGACACATCCAGCTACAGTTTTATGAATGAATGAAATGGGGTTTAATGTCCTGTTCTGCTCCCTACCTGAGCTAATGAAGACGGGCATACGCCATACAGTGTGCTATGAGTGAAATTTTGCCTGGGCAGTGGCACTATGGCCTACTCTTATATTGAATTCCAACTGCCAAGGGATCATTTACATACACGGGACCTCGGTTTTTCGTCCCATCCAAATGACTACTACAATTTTATAAATCACTTCCATCAAAAAAAACAAAACAAACTTACATTGGTTTCCGTCATAACATAGATATTTTTATGGGGCACGTCAAACATCATGTCCTGCTTTACTGGGCTTCCAGCATCGACTATGTCACTACCATATTCTCTAGCCTTTAAATCTGTCTCCAACACAATCTGAAAGTAAAATTCAAATTATGTATTGCTCAAAAATTTCATTTGTGATCAGGAAGAACTTCCAAAGTTCTGATGTTCAGTTTCACAAAGAGGTCTACCTTTCTCAATGCAACCTTGCTATTGTGGCCATTACCATATAACACATGGTCAAAGATCATTTTCAACATAGAGCAAAATGGGGTTTAATGTCCACATGACACAAACTAGGTCATTATGGGACTAACATATGTTCAATTTTATTTCATTAATTCGCTAGTCCGTAGGGGTCTTTAGCAGTAGGAAGACACTGAAGGACCTGGACCTGGAGAAAACCCATGAGGTTGGACAGGCGACCCTACTCCTAGTCACGTATAACCGGGGGAATCAAAACCATGCCACTTGACTCAGTGACAGACCTTATGATTAAATGCGCACATGTTAACCATCAGCCACCTAGCTCCCCTTTTAGCATTGAAATTTTTGTAAACAAAAGTGGCGAAAATGATATCAAATATGGTAGTTACAGTAATGATGCACAATTCGCATTTTTCCAGAAAATATCAATTTTGTCACGGCTTAATACACACTAAATATAATACTCAGGTAGATTATTTAACATTTAATTAAAACAAAATCAAAATAACAACTCCAGGATTCAAACGGATTTAAGACAGGCCCATCAATTTGGTTCAAGGCAAATAATGATGGTGACAGTCTTGTTACATAGAAAGCAGCTTTAGCCCATGGAATTTTTAGACTGATATTCATATTAGAGATGAAATGTAGTTTGTGAGAGAGAGAGAAATGGGTTTAACGTCCACTCGACACAACTACGTCATTTCGGGACTAACACATGGTTTAATTTTATTTCCAAAATTCGCCTGCGCATAGGGGTCTTTAGCAGTGGGAGGAAACCGGAGGACCCGGAGAAAACCCACGAAGTTGGACATGGGACCCTACTCCTTGTCACATACAACCGGCGGGGATTCGAAACCACGCCAGTCGACTCAATGACAGACTTTATGATACAGCGCGCGCACGCTAACCATTCAGCCATCCAACCCCCCCAAATGTAGTTTGTAATGGATTATACAGTGCTAAGATCAAGCATAGTGTCTTTAAATGGTTATTTCTAGTCATAATTAAAGACATTTAACAATTAAATGAAATGTGTGCTATGAGGGAAATTTTGCCCGAACAGCGGCACTACGGCCTACTCTTTTATTGAATTCCAACTGTCAAGGGATCTTTTACATGCACGCCAATGTGTGCACAGGATCTCGGTTTTTTGTCCCATCCTAATGACTAGACAGCTCTCCTTGTCAAGCCCTCCGTCCTGCATCACCGACAAGAGGGAACAACGCCGGAACATTTAAATTAACACTTATGTGGCTGGCTTGTGTGTAGCACTGTACAAAAATATAAAATACATCGATATCTGTGAGAATTTAGTTGCTAGGGCTATGATTTTAATCGTCACATTATGAGCAATTATCAATATTATCCTTCGGGAATCCTGGTGAAATGGCAGGAAGTGAATCATAATATCATTGTTACATCACCATTTCATATTAACCAATAATAATCATTGTGAATACCCCATGACAACAGATTCACCTCCGTCTGATTCCCATAACCATCGTAATTACCAAACAGCTTTCTTCTCGTCAAATAAAAATTTCATCTAATCGCTTTCACTTGAATTAAAAGCCTACAATTTTCTTGGTTTTTGTTCGTTTCTTTTGTTCAAATTTTTTTTATTGCCATAAAGCCAATAAAAGCATGTTGGGAAATCACAGTCAGACTGCAAAAAAATCACAGACACTTCACTTTGTCATTAATGGGGCAAATTAACCAATTTAAAAATCCCAGCTCTCTACCTGTCTTTAAGAAATATTTTTTGGTTGACACGGTCAGCTAGCTTTGGGAGAGAGACAAATGGGGTTTAACGTCTACTCGACACAAACTAGGTCATTTCGGGACTAACATATGGTTCAATTTTATTTCAATAATTCGCTTGGAAGTAGGGGTCTTTAGCAGTGGGAGGATATCGGAGGACCCTACCCCTTGTCACGTACAATGAGGGAATTGAAACTATGCATGTGCAGTAGGTTTTCTCCCTAGTAAAAGGACAACTTGTGCTCATGTACAATTAACTCTAACCCACTATGTCCAAATAGAGAGAGAGGGTTTAACATCAACTCGACACAAACTAGGTCATTTCGGGACTAACACATGGTTCAATTTCATTTCAATAATTTGCTTGCGCGTAGGGTCTTTAGCAGTGGGAGGAAACTGGAGGACCAGGAGAAAACCCACGAGGTTGGACAGGCAACCCTACTCCTTGTCACTTCCAACTGGGGAATCGAAACCATGCCAGTTGACTCAATGACAAGCCTTATGATACAGCGTGCACATGACTCCTTGGTTGTACGTGACAAGGAGTAGGGTCGCCTGTCCAACCTCGTGGGTTTTCTCCAAGTCCTTTGGTTTCCTCCCACTGCTAAAGACCCCTACGTGCAAGCGAGTTATTGAAATAAAATTGAACCATGTGTTAGTCCTGAAATGACCTAATTTGTGTCGTGTGGAGGTTAAACCACATTTCTCTTTCTCTCTCTTAAATTGATATCACCAATTATGCCTTTAATTCATATGGACTGATTGTGCCTTTAATTCACATGACCAACCGTCCATCTTCAAATTAGATTCTGAATAAGTTTTGTGTACCATTTACTGTTCATTACAAGTATATCCCTGATGGACATTAACTGACAGACAGATTCCTGAGATTTAACGTGCTATTCCTCCATCAGTTCACGCTTGATTTATTTCATCTTACGGGAGATTTCACGACAAAGATTTATCCGAGCTTTTTAACAATATCTTAACAGCCTCGCATCCCATTTACTATCTATTGGACTCGAGGGAGTAATCATTGAGGAACATCATAACTAGTCTATAATTGTCTACAAAATTCTCCCATCCATTCCATTTCCCGACGACATGTAGGAAAATCAGCTACAGGTTTAACAATCTCGCTTTATTATCGCGTAAAACTCGAGAACAAAATCAACACAGGCAAGCGAGATTTCATTCTTCGATACCCAATTCTAGGTATTAATATTTAATGAATTAATGTAGATTGGAACAACAGGACGAGGATATATAAAATGTTGAAATGAGGCACACGATGATTATCAGTGAAACTATTGTGTTGTAACGACCGTTACATAAACACCAATAATTACAACGAGTCCGACTAATTCATGTCGTATCAATTGCCGATTATATTTGTGTTGGCTTCAAACTACATGTGTTTAATATCAAATGTTTATTTGGCTTCCAAACTATTAAATTAATTATTGCTATGGGAGAATTTTGCCAGTGCAGCAATTGATTTCCATCTCTGTGTAACATTAAATGATAATTATTGCTTTACAGATTAGCTTCAGACTGCATGTGGGTATATGTGATTTTTGTTTCAAACAATCAAAGTTATTATGTTATCAATGCAAGGGAGATTTTTGCCAGGGCAGCAACTGTCTAACGTTCAATGACAATGTGGCATTATTTATGAAATAAATTCAATGAGGTATCTTATTAACACAAAATATTTCAGGGTCGGTGAGGATGTTTCATTTAAAATTTCAATGAAACCATTAAAGACAATTCTTTTTTATGGCAAAAAGATGAGAGAATTTAAGTGGAATTTTGTTGTATTACTTGTCAAAAGGTTTGTAATTTCCTTAAAAAAAAACTGTTTTATGGAATTAGACGTAATAATTTCATGAATGATAAGTTTGTTCATTTCTTCCAGAAGCTTAAAGATAAATTATGGAAGTTCAGATTAAGAGCTGGCAGTTCTCACTATAATATTTAAAGCTAGATAATGTAACGGGAATATGCTGAAAATTTCAGTCAAATTTCTCCACTTTGAACCAAGATATTAGTGATTGATTTTTCGTCCTAGCCTCGATCATAATTACTAAAGTCGGTACGATAAAAAACATAGTCCTGATTATCCATTTTTTGATTTAATCATCAATGAGTGTTGAGCAGCAGATCGGATTCAAATCCAGTGACAATCCGACACATAAGAAGGCATTGAGAGTTAATTAAGGTTTTTTCATGTTAATAAATGTCTAATTAATAGTTTATATAACATTTCAGCCCTAAAGAAAGTCCTGCAATAGGCAGATTTAGCTCTTGCATAATGTATGTTTAACCTGGGCTTAGTTGTCTGAATCAAACATGTCTGACCAAGTAGAATTAGAATATAGTTAAATTACGGTCCCAATCATTACAGATTAGATATCTACTGGATTAACTGGACAATAGATAATAATTTATGAAACAATGTCTCTCTAATATAATTACAGAGTTGACTTTGATTATGTAGGCTAATCTGTAATGGTTGGGATCGCATGTTCTAATTCTACTTGGTCAGACATGTACTGGTGTGGAGTGCATCATGTAAATGTCTACATCGTTACCACATCTATTATTAACTACATCTACAACATCAACACCATATTGGGTATATAGAAATTCCATTAACCCTTTTCACCCCATTGTTATAAATCGCTTGACACTATTCACCAAACACCTACTTTTATTTGACACAGTAGATTCAGTAAAAAGGAAGCTAACAATGTCATAAAATTAGCCCAACCGTAACCATTACCAGCACATAAATATTCTGTTCTATTGTCCCGAATGTTAGACACCATATCAGATGTTTATGGTTGCCTTTCTTGCAGAAACTCAAGACATTTTTGAGGTGTAAAAGTTAATCTGTGGGTAATTAAATGGGTTTTTTGAGTCGGTCTAATGGAGAGATTATGATCTATCGTGTCTGGAATTTGTTACAATGGACCATAATAAAACTTGGTTATTGACCTACATGTTGTATATAAAAATATGGAAAAGACTATGCTCCATTAAAACCGGACATTAGATCCAACTTCCAAATCAAGTTGTATATAAAAATATGGAAAAGACTATGCTTCGTTGAAAGTGGATGTTAGGCCTTGTTGTTGGTTCTTGATAGAGTTTTTAAATCCACAGACAAAAACCCTGACAACACAAGATCCTCAATGACACCTTATTGTGAGAACTTTATGTGTAATGTAAAGGGAGAATTTTGCCAGGAGGGCAGCGGAGGTTAGATTCAACTTTACAAATCAAGTCAAGTCTTGTTGCTGGTTCTTGATAGGGTTGTTAAATCCACAACACAAGATCTTCAATGACACTTTATTGTGACAAACTTTATGTGTAATGTAAAGGGAGAATTTTGCCAGGAGAGCAGCGGAGGTTTGATTCAACTTCCAAATAAAGTCAAGTCTTGTTGCTGGTTCTTGATAGGGTTGTTAAATCCACAGAAAAAAACCCTGACAACACAAGATCTTCAATGACACTTTATTGTGACAACTTTATGTGTAATGTAAAAGGGGGAATTTTGCCAGGAGAGCAGCATTACAGGTTACAGTTTTTAAATCAGGTTGCAGACATTGTAGTACATAGAAATACGAATGCCATTAAAAAATTTGTTGTTTTTTTTTTAACCTTTCTACAGCATGATTTCATCTATCAGACAACCCCATCAACAAGCTACTTAAAGGCTTTCACATTTTTCCGATAAACTTTTAATCTGGTCATTATTTCACAAATGGTTGGGAGTAATACTGCATCCATGTGGACTATACTACATCTGTGTGCTATACAATCGCTTGTAACAATGGTACCGCAATTGTTTGTTTTATTTGGATACGAAACTAAGTCTTTGTCTATTGATACCAGATGTTAGATAAAACCTTTTAGAACATACATACTTCATTCTTTGTACTTCCGTTAAAAAAATGTTTCAGTTTTTCATTTAGAATCCATTTAAAACATTCTACGATAAAAGTCGTACTTGCCGAACGAGAATTGTTTTCATATGGCATGGGTTGGAGGTAGAAATTGTTTGGTCTTCAAAATGTATTAATTTTTAAGGGAAATGAACTTGACTACACCATTTAATGTGCTTTGAGTGAAATTTTGCCCTCACAGCCTACTCTTATTCCAATTTCTAACTGCCAAGGGATTATGAACATCTTGCCAATGGTTTAAAAGGATCTTGTTTTTTCAGAACATCAAGATGACAAGAAGCTTTTCTATGACAGGCTTAATATATCCAAAAGCGATACCTTAAAAGTCAGAACTGTTTTTATTTGGCAAGACTCGACTGAATTACTGGATTTTGACATCATTTAGTCTTGCCCAAATTGTTTCAATTTATCCACAATATTGAAAATCATTCATAATATAATACCCTAAAAATTATATTATAAAGCAAAAATTATTTCTTTAAGGTTGTTGAAAATAATATCCAATTTATGAAAAGTCTTTTGTCCCGTTGTCATCAGACGTTTAATTAGTTTCCATGTAGGTTCAGGGGAGGATAACAAACAAGAGAGAACACTGCCAAACAATCAAGAAATGAAGAGCCATTTTGAATTTGTAAAGAAAATTCATTAGAACTTCATCTCGTTGTATTGAGTTTTTCGAGATAATGGCAAGAAGATTCGATAGTATTAATCGTTGTAATGTTAACTTGTTTATGAATAATATTGATCCCATGTGCACTTCCTTGGAAACCAGCCCTTTGATCAGACGACAAAAAAAACGGCTCTATTTAAATTTCATATTATGCGTCTGCTTACATCAGAGAAAAGGTGGTATAATGAAACGTATACCACGGACCTTTATCAGACCAGAGGAAAGTCAATAATGGCTTTTTTTTTTCTCTCCTTGGGTATTAAAAGTTTTAAGCTATGTGCAAGCTGTTCTAACAAGGCACAAGTACGTTCTATTGATCTCAGTTGAAAATTTTCTTTTGATCTTCTGGCGTCTTTAACGATTTTCTATCTTCCTGCAATTTTCTCTCTCTTTCTTCCATTAATCGTGATGGTCCGAGTCATACCGCAGCGGCAGCAGCGAGAGCCTATATCAGAGTACATCAGAATCCTGACAGATCAAAGCGATTACCTGCAGGCGAGTTATTGGAATTTAATAGACCTATAATACGATATACTTGTGTACTCTGTCGGACATGTTGCTTTTGCTAATTTTTTTCCTCCCCCTGATAATGATCATTTAATTATCTTAATGTGGCTTCGTGCAGCTATTACCGAGAGATGTTGAAAAAAAAATATGTCTGATTGAAGTTTGCGAAATATCTATAACATATAATGAAGTATTTATTTACAATACAAGATCTATGAGCGTCTATCCAACAATTCAGATTGTAAAGGCTTTGAAGTGGAGGAAGGGAGAAACATGTAATTAGAGAGAGAGAGAGAGAGAGAGAGAGGGGTCACAACTAGGTCATTTTAGGACTAACAAATGGTTCAATTTTATTTCTATAATTTGCTTGCACGTAGGGGTCTGTAGCAGAAAGAGAGAGAGAGAGAGAGAGAGAGATGCAACCAACACCAACTAGGACATTTTGGGACTTATATACGGTTGATATTGACTTCAATTATACACTTCCTCACAAGGGTCTTTCGAAAGGTTTTGGGGACAAGCATGGTATATTTGTATCCCAATAATTCGCTTGTAGTGACAATGGGAAGAAAACAAAGGAAACAGAGAAAAACCATGAGGTTAGACACACCTAATACTTAGGTTCCATAGATCATCCAATATCTGTTGTAATGTCACAATTAAAATATTTTTGTCCTTATCAACCTCATACATTGTAAATCGTTTATCTCAGAATCAACACATGTAAGTTGATATAATCAAAACTCTAACAATGTGTTGACAGCATGTCTTCAAATGTTTTCTCCATCCAAACTAAATTCCACTCATTGCTTTGTGGTCTTTAAAGACAATAAAATCTTCTCATTTTCAGTTTCCATCACTTGCCGAATTTAATGATGCTTAGCTTGAGTTTAAATAAGCATATTTATAATTTGAAGTATGTGTCAGATTGCCTGTACTGATCAACATCTCGGTAAAATATGCCATGTATTTATGTTTTATTCACGAAATTTACCTCATACTTCAGCCTAGACAAATGAAATGAAATGGAATTTAACGCTTGACTTTTTTTGCATCAACTGGGCTAATGAAGGCGGGCATATGCCATACAGTATGCAATGGCGCTACGGTCCACTTTAATATTGAATTCCAACTGTGCACGCCAATGAGTACACATGACTTAAGGTAGGCCTATTCATTCCATCTGAAGGACTAGACACTGTCCTTTCCAGTTTTGAATGCATCTAGCATGATTGTGATTATTATAATGTGTATTGTTATTTGCGTAATGTTAATATTCATATTATTAGTTGAGTAATGTAAATATTTGTATTGCTATATGAGTAATGTTAATATGTGTATTGTTATATGAGTAATGTTAATATTTGTATTGCTATTTGAGTAATGTTAATATTTGTATTGCTGTTTGAGTAATGTTAATATTTGTTTTGTTATTTGAGTCATGCTTTTATTTGTATTGTTATTTGAGTATTGTTAATTGTTATTCAAGTAATGTTAATTGTTATTTGAGTATTGTTTATATTTGTATTGTTAGTTGAGTAATGTTTATATTTGAGTAATGTCTCGTCATTTATCAGGAATAAATGACATTTTATACCAGTCTTATATCTTTATTTGAGTTTTTGGATTGAGGGACACCAAATATTTTGACACTTACCTTTTTCAGTTCTCCTTCAGATGTTCCGACAAAAGCCACTGTATGTTCGTTGATGGTGGTAAGAGCTACAGAAGTTAACGATGTACCGCTGTAGGTAATGGCAGGTGGTTTAACCATGGGATTGATCCCAACCACCATGGAGAAACTCTCTAGATTCGTATTGCATAAATATTCATCATCTTCTTCTATATTGTGTGTAACCAAACCACTCTGAAATTAAAATAAAAATATTTTAATATTAATGTGTTTTTATTTATTCAGCTCTCTACTTTCCATTTTCATTATAAACCTCCAACCTCGTGGGTTTTCTCCGGGTTCTCCGGTTCCCTCCTACTGCTAAAGACACCTACGCGCAAGTAAATTATTGAAATAAAATTAAACCATATGTTAGTCCCGAAATGACCTAGTTTGTGTCGAGTTGATGTTAAACCCTCTCTCTCTATTTGGACATAGTGGGTTAGAGTTAATTGTACATGAGCACAAGTTGTCCTTTTACTAGGGAGAAAACCTACTGCACATGCATAGTTTCAATTCCCTCATTGTACGTGACAAGGGGTAGGGTCCTCCGATATCCTCCCACTGCTAAAGACCCCTACTTCCAAGCGAATTATTGAAATAAAATTGAACCATATGTTAGTCCCGAAATGACCTAGTTTGTTTCGAGTGGACGTTAAACCCCATTTCTCTCTCTCTCATTATAAACCCTTGATGAAGATCCATTCAAATCCCTAAATCGTTTTTAATCTACTATATATTTATCAAATCACTGGTCTGACTATTGTGTGGTTTGGGCTGACATGTGCTAGTTATGTAAGATATTGTCCTCCATTCGGTTTAAACATAAAGAAGAAATGTGCTTTTATTTATTCAGCTGACCCTTGTACTTGTAATTTCATTTTAAACCCTTGATAAAGATCCATTCAAATCCCTAAATTGGTTTTAATCTAGAATATATTTATCAAATCTCTAGACCCCTGTTGGCTATTACTCTTTTAATCTGGTCTCAACGAAAACTGTCTTACAGTAATAGAATAGTGAGAGGTTTAACGTACACTTGACATAACCTAGTATGTAATTTTATTTCAATAATTTGTTTCTGTATTAACAGGGGTCTTAAAACAGTGGGAGTTTACCTAGGAGAAAAAACAGAAGGTTGGCAGCAGATAGGTAGTTTTTGAGTTTTTGTTTAAAGACACTGCGAGATTGAGCTCTCCATAGAGAGTAACCTGAGATATATTTGTGCACTGTTTTGTGTTGTCTGTATTTTATTGTATAATTTTCCTGCGTTATCTACTGGAGTAGAGAGAGTGATTAGCTAATCAATTACTTTAGTGCCTATATAAACAACATCATCCATTTTTAATTTGACAGATTCAATTTTTTATTTTATTTAATAAATCTAATGCATGTCATTATAAAAGGCAAATAAAACACAAGTCGATTATGGTTCAATTCCAGAAACTTGCTTCAACTGGTGTTGAACATGACGCTGCGGACTGTCAAAACAAGCCGAAAGAGACTGAGTGCAGGAGTATGGAGGTCACAGATAGTGTAAAATTATATGAAGGCTAGTTTACAGCCGACGTCAGACACCAAACACATTTACACGTATCCCTCCCGTATCTGTTGATCAGCTGTCAAATATTGGTAAATAATTAGCCATTAAAATAATGTAGAAATGAGTTAATCAATAAACGGAGATAATTAAAGTTGAATATGAGTGATTATGTTTGATTGATCCGATTCCAGTAATTACACGACTCTTAAACCTCATCACAATTAGCTGCAAATATGAAAAGATAAAATCGGCATAAATATTTGGCATTTACACATGTCAAAATGTTTTTTGGGGTTATTAATTACAAATCTGTATTAAAACTTTGACGCTTAAACTGAGAGAGAGAGAAAGTTTTAATGTCCACTTGACACAAACTAAGTCCTTTCAGGACTAACATATGGTTCAATTTTATTTCAATAATTTTCTTGTGTGTAGTGGTTTTTAGCAGTAGGAGGAAACCGGAGGACCTGGAGAAAACCCATGAGTTTGGACAGACGACTCTTCTCCTTGTCATGTACAAGCGGGAAACCAAAACCACGCCGCTTGACCCAATGACAGAGCTGGTAATTTCACACACACGCATGTTAAACCACTAGACCACACAACCCCTCCCCCGTCACTTAAACAAGAACTAGTACCAGATGTTTCATGAAACAGTCCATGGTATTGCATACTTAAGCATATAATACAAAAAAATACTTCATGTTAGTCTCAAAAAGATCTGAGTAAAAAGTGGATGAGAGATTTAAAACCCATCCTAAACCTCAGCCATTTTGATACTAACTAATCTGGCCATCAAACCCCCACCCCAGTCAGAAGGCAAGCCCCCAACCCATGCAGAAGGCAAGCTACCACCCCAGTCAGAAAGCAAACCACCACCCCAGTCAGAAGGCAAACCCCCATCCCAGTCAGAAGGCAAACCCCCATCCCAGACAGAAGACAAACCCCTGCCCCAATCAGAAGGCAAACCCCCATCCAAGTCAGAAGGCAAACAGTCAATACATTACAAATACATTCCTCATAAGCAGGGCAGAAACAAAGTAAATCTTAGTGAACTAATACTCAAGGGTATACAGTAACTCCAATCAAAATGTGACATTAAGTTATTGGAATAAAAAAAAACACTTGAAAGAAACAAAATGTTAAGAGCCATTAGAGTTCTGGGGATTAAATTTGTGCACTTTTTCATCCAGGAATTTGTCAATTTGCAGTCCAAGACTAGCAGACCGAAGAACTTGAGACGGTCTCGATGCTTGTCATCTTGTGGACCATTTAAAATTGATGTTATCAGTCACAGTGACAATTAGTCTAGTGCCATCTTGAGAATCACCTGTATTTAAAACAAAAGCCGTAATTTTTCAAAGTGCTGGCTTTCAAATGTGTTAGGTGCAATAATCGGTCACAGGGTTGTCATTCGGTCCAGTGGCAGTGGTGTCACAAGTGGTGTAGTAATCTCGTCCCGGGGTAAGACAGATGGCCGACAGTGACAGATGATGTAATTTCCTTTAGTAATAGAATTCATTCAACATCATTCCAACACACTACTGGTTTCCCTCGGCAACCAACAGCAACAGTTGTATGGCTGCGGCAACTCTTGGGGAAACAATTTCTACACAGAAACACCAGATAGGACAAGTTTCAACACCAGGGACAAATTATCTTTGATTTTTAGAATTTTGTCATCTCATGCAATTTGCTCCTTTCGTGAAATTGTTTTTTTTTTTCCTTTCCCCATTTATTCAAAATGTAATGATGGATAACAGAGCTTCATTTTAGTAAATTGAATCAAATGACATTCCAGTTTTTAAGATACTGAGATTAATATTTCAATGGCGTGGCCGTGGTGGCCAAAATTATATAAAAAAAAAATATATTGAACTTTTTCTGGCAAGGAATCAGACACTTCATCAATAAATGCCATTTGTCCTGTCAACAAAAATTCATCTTAAAATCAGGAAATGATCATATAACATTTCAACTTTTCAGTAAATGACGTGTCATTTTTGGGAGGTGTAACTTGTCAATGTCAACGAAGAAACCTTTGAAATCAAACCAAAGTCAAAATCCAGGAAAACCTCTTGTGGCAGTTTGTAACGAGAAATGACGAAATGAATATCAAACCCATAAAATGTTGCCACATGTTTCTGATGTTTCAACCATGGGAATTTCATGAAATTTCAGTTTTGACAGCTTATTGGCAATCCATTTTTAACAGATCAAATGTTTTTAATATTTTTGACAACAACATGTTCTTCTATACCCCTCAAGCTGATTAGAGAAGTCTTAAACTTAAATAATTTAAGAATGCTCCATCTCAATTGGCAAAAAGCCACAATTTGGACTGGGATTTTGATTGTCAGCAATGGAACGGCTATATTGTTTACGTATTAAAGAATGAGGTCATTCAGCCTTTTGTTTCCTTACCAATTTGTTCATAACCCTATAAAAATACTGAAATGTTATAATATTTTAGTTTTAAGTTTCCATGAATAGACCCCTGTTACCAATTTGTTCATAACACTATAAAAATACTGAAATGTAATAATATATTAGTTTTAAGTTTTCATGAATAGACCCCTGGGCCTTTTGTTTTGTTTCAATACCGATTTATTAAGGGGCTAAAGATTTGAGACAAGAACTTCATTTTTATCAGTCAAAAAAGTGGTTTATTTCTTTATGACCTTTTCATTGAATCGCAAACGTTTCTCGATTATCATATTCTGCATTAAAGATGTCAGAATAATCGTGATTAGCCAGCTTATAAAGTTGTTTTACGGAGATTTGATATCAGAAGTTTGTGGAGTCGATATTTAAGATAACGGCAGGAGATATCTAGACACCAGAAAGATCATTTGGTATGAAAACCATATCAAGGTGATAACCATAGAATTCTAAAATATCTTGAAATAATAAATATTTCAGATATATGATCTTAGTACAGTAATGTAGTTAAACCTTGAAGGGGGATCACGTGGCTAAGTGGGTAAGACGCTGGCTCACTAGCCTGGAGGTCGGGTGTTAGATCCCTGCATTGGCCGAGAAAGTTCGTCACGATTTTCCGGCATGGTTTCCCCTTGTCAGTGATGCAGGACGGAGGGCCTGACAAGGACAGCTGTCTAGTCGTTCGGATGTTACGAAAAACCAAGGTCCCGTGTACACATTGGCGTGCACGTAAAAGATCCCTTGGCAGTTGGAATTCGATATAAGAGTAGGCCGTAGCGCTGCTGCCCGGGCAAAAATTTCCCTCATAGCACATTGTTTGGCGTATGCCCGTCTACATTAGCCCAGGTTAGGAGCAGAAAAGTAGGACGTTAAACCCCATTTCATTTCATTTGTTAAACCCTGAAGCATATTTCCCAGTTATGACAGAATACTCCCCACCCATATTTCTGTTCTGGTGGGGAGCTGGCCGAGTAATTTTATGCATGGAGAGAGAGAGAAATGGGGTTTAACGTCCACTAGGCACAAACTAGATCATTTCAAGACAAGCATATTATTTCAATAATCTGGTTGTGCGTAGGTGTCTTTAATAGTGGGAGGAAACTGTGGGATCCAGAGAAAACCCACGAGGTTGAACAGGCGACCCTACTCCTGGTCTCAAAATGATCTAGTCTGCCTTGAGTAGACAATATATCTGATCCCTCTCCCTGAC